TCGGATTACGCTACAAGTATCACGATAATGAGCGATGGTACGAGACACAAAAGATTTATTCACATTTAAATGCTGGATGGCTCTAAGAATAGCCACTTGTGGTTTTCCAGCCACCATTGAATTTCATCGCGAATAACTTCTGGAAAAATAATGAGGAGCTGTCACTGGAACAATTTTAACAGCTGTCGGACGAGTGGCTTAGAAATGACAGCAGCCTGAAGTTGGTTGCAGTTTTTTTTTTTTTCATTTCACCCTGTATTCGTTGTAGGCAAATTAATTATCCAACAAATCGGGCTAGACAAAGTTAACTGGGATGATTGATGATGAAGCCAATAACTCAGATGAACTGGAAAAATTGTAATTTTAAAACTAGCATTAGATATTGAATATCACAGAGTTCCTCGATGGATACAATACACGCTCGTTGGCGCTGTAGAGACTCATGGATTTTGTGACGCGTTGGAAAGCGCGTATGGAGCCATGCTATATATTCAGGTGGAAAATACTGACCATACCACACATACAATCTCATTAGCAGCAAACAATCGTGTCGCTCCAATTAAAAGAACTTTTGAATACCCAGACATGAGTTATGTGGCGCAATATTACTCTCCCAAATGGCAAAATCCGTAGCCGTAAATATTCTACAAAAATATATTTTGGACAGAATCTAACATCGTCTTGGCATGGTTAAAAAAGCCTCCTTGTCATTGCAGCACATTTGTTGGAAATAGAGTCACGGAAATTGCTGATAATGTTGGAGAGGAAATGTGGAGACATTTCCATTCGGAAAATAATCCAGCTGATATTGCGAGCTGTGGATGTTCATCCGCAGAGCGAAGGACCAATGAACTCTGGCTCAGAATGCCAAAAGACCGTTGGCCATCACAAGATATCCCAAATGACAGAAATTTGAAAGTCAAAGAGATAACTGCTTAAAAAATTCTCCTCTTTAGCTAACGCATATGCCCCTGGCATGTAAGATTCTGGAAAAATGCTGTAGCAAATATGCATCCTATCCGCACCTCATCAATAGACCATACAGCAGCCGAATCCCAAGATGGAAAACAATCCCGGATAATTCGCACACAAAAATTCGTTTATGCCGACGAATATAACTCACTAATGAAAAATACTCAAATATCTAGTTCAAGTCCTCTAATGGCACTCAACCCATTTCTAGAGTCAAACGGTATTAATAGAGCAATTGGCAGATTGGTAAAATAACCAGCCCTCACATACATATTGAGCGTCATCCAAAAACACTACCATATGGTGCAAAACTTAGCAAACATTGTTAGTCGAATTTACTCATAAGGTTACCTTACAGAGTGGTGTTCAATTATTGGCCCGATTACAAAGATCCGAATTCTGGATATTTGGAATCAAGTCGCTGATAAAACAAGCCATACGCAAATGTCGAATTTGTTTAGTCTCGATCCTCTACAAACACAGTGGTAGGTTTTACAGGACCCTTTAACATTAGATTTATTCACAAAAAATGTAACTCGGCTACCTCCATGCGATACAGACTAGTTTAAAGCTGGAAATACATAAAGCGCATATTTGGCTGGCTTAAAGCTGGGAATACATAAAGCGCTTATTTGGCTGGCTTAAGACATCGGCTGGCTTCTTCGGAAATGAACAAAGGAGCCTAGGGCCAAAATCGAACTAAGTCAACCTAAAACTCCTTTGTTCTTTGCTTTGTTCCTCTACGAAGAAGCCAGCCGATGACTTAAGCCAGTCAAATAAGCGCTTTATGTATTCCCAGCTTAAGTCATCGGCTGGCTTCTTCGTAGAGGAACAAAGGAGTTTTAGGTTGACTTAGTTCGATTTCCGAAGAATTCGAGAACTCATTAAGCGATTGTTAACAAATCCCAAAATGGGAACAATTTAACGTTTTCTTGAACACACAAATTCAATAGTTTAGAGTGAGTTGGTAATATAAAGTCTTCTGTGTATATCAAAATTGAACCACTCAGTATCGAATGGTCTGCGATACATTTGTAACATTAGAATTATGTGTGTTGCGTAGTATATCCGGAAATCTCGATTTAATTTGTGGTCAATTCAGACTTGTGGACGCAAATCCCCGACCTTCGTTTGTCAGATGTCAATCTTTTTTAATCGCGTCCTGTAGATCTGTTGTTAGGAGCCCAAAACCGATGGCGTCAAAGTCCGTATTGTCGTTCGTTGTTTGTCAATATTTATCGTTCCTCCCATCGTGAGGGCGGTTTTAGACCAATGTAGTAGGCAGAGTCAGATACGTACATCTCTGGTGCATAGTTATAGTCGAACTAAGTCAACCTAAAACTCCTTGGCTCCACTACGAAAAAGCCAGCCGATGACCTAAAGCTGAGATACCATAAAACGCTTTTTAAGTCATCAGCTGGCTTCTTCATAGAGTAATAGAGGAGTTTTAGGTTGAACAAGTTCGATTTTGATCCTTTGTTCTTTTCCGAAGAAGCCAGCCAAAAGCAGAGTTTTATGTATTCTCACTTTTAAGCCAGTGGAAAAGCCTTTTATGTACCCACAACTTTGTTGAAATTATTTTTTTGTTTTCTTTTTTTGTTTTCTTTTTTTATCGGAATTTTATGTATGGTTCTTTTTTTTTGCTTCTCATAATGAATAAAATTTTCAATCACTAAACTATCCGGAGATAAATATGTTATGTGTTATAGGTTATTACGGTTTCTTTATAATAGTTCTATCATTTTTTCTTTCTTTTTCTAGATCCCATCCGACTTGCCCAACAATGAAGATCATAAATGATTTAATGATTTGCTTGCTTATCTTCTTTATTATTACTGGAGATTCCGATCCATATATAGCACCTGTAAAAAATTGTAGGTGTCTCATAGGTCCGACAAAACAATGTGCGGGAAAACTTTTATGTGCATTGCACATTAAAAGTTTGCAAAGAAAGAAAGAAAGAAATGAATGGCCGAAAGAAGAGGAAGCATAAATAAGATGTCACAGCTAAAAAACGGTTAAGGTGGAAAAAACATAAAGCGCTGATTTGTCTGGCTTAAGTCATCGGCTGGCTTCTTCGAAAATGAACAATGGGGATTGGGGCCAAAATCGAACTATGTTAACCTAAAACTCCTTCGTTAAGTCACCGGATGGCTTTTCCTACTTTCACCCAAAAAAAAAAAGCCAGCCTGCAACTTGTGCCACTAAACATCCTCTTTTGTGGTCACGTCTTTATGTATCTCCACCTTGACTCAGTCCACACTGCCAATGATTTGCGGTGAATAAATAATTTACTTTGCGAAATAGAATAATAGTGTTTATGTCAAAGCGAGGAAATAACTATCAACCCAAATAAAAGAATAAATATAATTTATATTTTTTTACTTTTATTTATAATTAATTCTAAGTTTTCCTTTACTGCATAATTTGTTAACTCTAAAGCTGCAAGTACATAAGAAGCTTGAAGTTGTAACAACCGTGTTCTAGAAAAACGAAATGAAATCGCTGTGTTGACCATTAAGTGGCGTTGCCGGTATGCTGGCGTTTAGCGCGGCTATGGCTCGTCGGATTGGGGGTTGGTTCTTGCCACTTACAGATCTTTTCGGTTGAACAAACAAATAAAATCATACCGGACTTCAAACTAAATCAAAAAGGGGGTAAAAAGAAGCCTGAAACATGTTAACACCAAAATTAAAAAGAAGAAAACGTTCACCTAACTACAACCAAATCCCAAAATAACATTAGTTTTCCTCACAGAAACAGTGCTCCTGGCGGCTGACCAGCCAGGAGATAGCCCTCCCTCCGAGAACACCTCTCGCCATGACGTCTACTCATACCTGACGTCCCAGATCTGACCCTTGACTTACCGCATTTTATACCATTACCACCACCTTTTAAACAGGGCTTTAAGCCAAAGACATATTTATATTTTCTGTATAAAATTGGTACATTTTATTTAAATTGCTTTAAATTCCCAAATAACAATTCGTAGAAGAAATTACATGCTAACTTTAATGTATGCGTTCAACTTTAATTATGAATTCAATTCAATGAACAAGTACAATTTTGCCAAAAATTACTGAAAAAAATCTCCTTTTTCTTCTTTTAGACTGCGCTTTCTGATGACAAAAATTATGGTGCAATAAAGGCAGCTTGCAATTGTGGTTCTTCCCAACAAGTAAGTTCGAAAGTATTGTTTTAAAGTTTAGCTTTTTTAATTATATTCCACGTTAATGTTTTTTTATTAATTATATTTCTTTCGTTTTAATTTCAGGAAAGGCAAACAAAAGTGGAGTGTCGATAGCACTTAAAATCGACGAACAGATTAAGAGCCTGGTTACCTAACCTTGAATAGAGCTCTGTTCAACGTCGTGTACCTGCAGACTAACCAAAAGGTGATTAAAATTTAAAATTGGCTTCATTTGTTTCCCCTTCTAATTCATATTTCTCCTTTTTTTTTACAGAAAAAAACCGCGGAATTTAATTATGATGCTTCGTCGTCCGTCTGTCTGTCCGAGGTTTCTTGTATAAAATGTCGGTTGGGAATACCAAGCCACGCTGGGTTAGCAATGGCGCAAAATCAGCGGCTCCCTCGATGGATTGGATGGGCGATGGTGTGGCTTGTAGGCTCCAACTCTTCATGAATTTTTAGGTTTAAGATTTATTTTCTTGCTTTAGATTTTTAGTAAATTGTTTTGGTTTTTTTTTTCTTTAAACTTTGTTAAATTATTTCCAAAATTTAATTTTAAAAAAAGTTCAATTTACTTTTAACTTTCAATTTTTGTGAAAACTATTTGTTTAGTTATAAGTTTTCCTTCATCTTTTAGCATTTTGTTTTTAAATTTTGCTTAATTATTTTAAGGCTTCCAATTTTGTTAAAAAAGTTTGTATTTCGTGTTGTTTGTATATGTGTTTCAAATAAATAAAAACATTGAATTCACTTCTCAGCAAGTGGTTCATCACCAAATACTTTGTCGGCTTTTTTTCTTCGCTGGTTACAGGGAGCCACACATCCAATCTTCTTCGCAGGTAAATCAAAAAAGGACCGATTTTTCTTACAATTTTTGCCAGGAAATTCTGGCTGCCATTTTCCTCGCTTAATTTTTCCATTTTCTTTTTACATTATTCCCCAATATTGACATTTAAGTAATTGGAATAATCAGCTGTTTTTTAGTAATTGTTCTTCTTCTTCTTCTAGCTATCAATTATTTTCAGGGTTACCCCTTTTAAAGGCGCACACCACAAAGCCAACTATCCTGCTGATATCCTTATCGAAGGATAGGGGGAAAAAAAGTGCGACCTTTGTTTTAAAAATGCAAAAAAAACATCAATGGTTTGATAGGGTATTAAAAAAATCGGTGTTTGGCATCCCTAAAAATCGCGGTCTGGCATCCCTAACACTGATTTTCCAAAATGAAATTTAATTTTGGACTGATTTATTTATTACAATAAAAAGCTCCATTAGCCCGTAGGAACATGGTATAATGTTTACGTCATACGCCACGCGATATCGTTTAGTCTGACGTAAGTTGGCTACCGATAGTAGTGATTACCGATAGTAGTGATGTTTATGAATGAAAACAATCGGAGTACGCGTCTATTGTAATTTTTTTTTTGGCGGATTGGAGCACGGACGGACGGAAAATTTTGGAGCGGCAGAAATGATAAAATTTTGGGTAAGTAGAGTGAAAAAAAATATAGTGAATTATAAATTAATTATAATACAATAAATTTAAATGCCGGGTGAGTGAAAATAACGTGTATAATTAAAGTGAAAAGTGAATAAAGTGCCGAAAAAAAATGAATGAAAGTTACTATCATAAACATACAGTGCGGGTGTATGTGCGAATAGTAACTTGCAAATAATTGCATGAAAAATTAATCCGTATACATCTTAGCAATTAATAAAGAAAATTAAAAGAATAAAAGGAAAAATAATAATAAAGTGATTTTACTGAAACAATTTAAATTAATTTCCTGAAATTAATTTAATTGTCTAACAAAAAAAAAAATCAATGATTTCCATCAAGTGTATGTGTGTGTGTGTGAATAAAAGTTGCATTTGCATTTACAATGAAATGCACTCATTAAGAAAAAATGTGACTTTGGCGGAAACAATAAGTTCGAATTATAATTCGAAGTTAGTGAGTAGTGAATAAAAATAGAACAGATAAAGAAAACAGAATTAAGGAATGAGTGAACAGTGCGAATAAAATTAAAATAGATAATATCTCCAAAAGAAAAGAAAAATTGAAATGGTGAAAGCAAAACAAAATGCAAAAATTAACAATGCTGTGGACCAAAGAGATAAAGTGCAAAAAAAAAACTGATGAATGATTACTATTGGAAACACAGAAAATATTAAAGGAGATGAATAAAAATTTAGTGGAAAATAGTGAGAAATTAAGAATTGATCGGACGGACGTAAATTATTTGTGGAAATATTGTGTTTTTTTTTTAATGACGAAAAGTGCAAAGAATTTAATTTAAATAAACCGTGAAAAAGTTGCATGATTAAAAAAAAAACAATTAAGGCATAAAAAGTGATTTTACTAGTTAAAAACTGTGCAAAACAATATCTAAAAAATTAATAAAGAAATTAAAGTGAATGAAATTGAAATGCTATTGTGAATTAATTGAAAATAAAATATTCAAGAATTGGGCTTCGGTAAATTTAATATGACGAACTATGTGCAATGCTTTGAATTTTGATGAAAGTATTAAACTGAATGAAAAATTAATAATGATAAACTGAGAAAGTTATCCAAATCGGACGGACATATTTGGTGTGATTGTCTAAAAATTATTTATTTTTTTTTTTTTTTTTTTTTTTACCATATTCGTTCTAAATTATATTTTGATTTTAACTTAAAGTTTCCTCTTTTTCACAGATAACTAATACTTTCTCTTTCTGTTCTTATCTTTTCAGATTGGTGACTGCCTACGTTTGGATTAAACGAAAGGTAAGATTGAGACCAGATATTTTCTTTTTCTGTAGGGGTACCCTCAACTAGGTCCACACTGTGGTCAGATTGTTGGATACGATATCATTTCAAATGCATTTAGATGTGTTTGATCGTGTCTTCCCGCTTTCAGACTCTAACGTCGTAAATCGATGACTGACAGCTCTGCGACCTTGTGTACAACACTCTTCTGCCTTGTGCCATAGTTGCGTATGGGAATATAAAGGAAGAGTGCACAAATGGTCAAGGACAGTCACAACGTGACTGCTCAGGAATCGTAGACATATTGTTAGAGACGGTAAATCTGGGATGCTTCCTTTCGTAATCCAACGGATTCTTTCTGACCACTGCTGCTGGTGTCTAGACGAGTGGCCTCCTATGGTTACATGAAAAAATTTTCAATGGTCTTAATGTTCGAAAAGACGACTAGAGAATTTACTTAACTTGGATATCTAATTCACAACAGGTAAGTAGATATAGAAATGCTAATAATTTAATAAGAAAAATATTAATAATTTCCTTTTTTATCTTTCCAGACATTATTTACCTACAGGCGATTTAATTTGCCTCTCCTGTGAAACCAGGAAATTATACTTGATGGTAAGTTCGAGTAATCCTGTTCTCCTTTTTTCTCCAACAGGTGTACCATCGACTAGACCTTCATCTTTTGTCAGAATGTCGGATACGATGGTTTGCAAATGCCCTTAGGTGTATTTGTTCTTTTTGTCTTCTGGCTTCCAGACTCTAGTGTCGTAAGTCGGGTGAAGCTTTAGAAATGAATGTAAGTTGTAGTTTTAATTCTATTTCGTAGTTTTCGTAATTTGGCTCTGGAAAATGAGAAAAATTTCGAGAACTATATTTTTTTATAAACATAAATTTTATAAAAAATTTCAGTCAAACCCCTTTGTAAGTATGGCCTGAAATTGACATTTTCAAATTTAATTTTATTTTTAAGTTGTTCATTTTTATTCGTATTTTTCTATTTCGCCAATAATCCTACATAATGATATTTCACTAATTCATATTTTTTTCTTTTTCTTAATGGAAAAAAAAAAACTGGAGAAATGGGTTTCAACCTTTACCCATACACAACTACACATCACTCAGGAAGGAAAAGCTGTCCTACAGCTTGTTAAAAAATTCGGGAATACTAAAAGGACATTTCGTAAGTAGAAATTCAGGTTAGTCCTCTTAATATTATATCTTAAATAATTGTAATAAAATTTGTACTTTTTTTTTTTAATTCAGGTACTACTTCTACTAAATTCAATTGGATCTTCCGGAACTCTTGGAAAATTCAGGTGAGTTTTGGAAAAATTTAAACTTAAGGTAACTTTAAGTTAAGATAGAATTAAGAGATAAATTTTAAATATTTTCCGTGCATACGTAGCGGATTAGTATTTCATTTTGAGATCTCCGCTTCATTTTAAAATTCAAAAAAATAATAATTTCTATCCTCATATATATGCTTTAGACTTCGGTCGCTATATATATGTAAAAAGAAAAAAAAAATAATTAGAAGAAAAAATTAAATTCTTCAATTCCTAAGCATCTATTGCTTCAAATCTTTAGCGTGAAAAATGCCAATGGGATGCCCTTTAAGATCTTCTACTTCGTAAAGGCATTTCCCAACTGGCTTAACAATGCGACACTTGAAAAATTTTTTATCAAGTTTAGCATTATAATTATTTTTAAAATCACTTTGCCTGAAACTTCTTCGGAAAACTTCTTGCCCTGGGATGAACTTGACCTGACGACTTCTAAGATTATAAGATTTTTCATTTCTCAAGTATGCCTGGTGCAGACTATTTCTTATCTTTTCTCGAATAAGATTCTGTTTTACCGAGTTTGGAATGAGTGTCGTCTCGGGGTCATTAAGAAGTTCAAGTTTCCTGGCTAATTTATAAAGACTGGCATGATTTATCATATTGACTCCAAAGAGCGCAAAATAAGGGGTAGTTCCGATGGAACTATGTACAGAAGATCGCAGAGAACATTCTATTTCTGATAAATTTTGATCCCATTCTCGGTGATCTTCTCCCAGATATGCCCGAATCGCTGATAAAATAGATTGATTTACCCGCTCCGAGGCATTTGCTTGCGGAGAGTGAAACGCAGTTTTGGTGTGGTTTATACCAAAGAGTTTAATCATATCTGAAAATTCTTTGCTAATAAATTGTTTCCCATTATCTGACACAATAACTTCTGGGGTTCCAAATTTATGAAATACTTCACTAATTAAAAACTTAACTACATTTCTTGAATTTGCTTTGGCCATGGCTTTTAGCAAAACGTATTTCGAAAGGTGGTCTACCACAATGAAAATAAAACTGTTTCCCGTTTTGGTTCTGGGATAAGGACCTAAGAAGTCTACATAAATTCTTTGAAAAGGTCTTTCTGTAATAGTCTCGGCTCCCATAGATGGACGAAGAGTCGAATTGGCTGGTTTTGTCTCTTTACAGATATCACAATTTTGTACAAAATTTCTAACTTGAGTATTCATATTTGGCCAGAAAAAGTACTCTTTCACCCTACGAAGAGTTTTGTGGAAACCTCCATGAGAAACTTGTGGTGGACAGTGTGCTTTTTCAATTATTTGCTGGGTCATTTCGCTGGGTACCCATAACTTCCAAGCGAAATCTTCATTAAGGGGTATTCCGTCGTAGAATTGAGTTCGTTTATATACCAAACCATCAACCACTTTTAGATCGGGAAGTTGTGAAGAATTATTTTTGATGGTTTCTATTAAGGCTAAATAATCATCTGCGTTAAAAGCTAAGGAATCGAGATCGATTAAGGCCTTCACATCTAGAGAAATCTCCTCCATATCATATCTTGATAAAGTATCAGGTACTATATTCTGGGTTCCTTTACGGTGCTCTATTTCAAAAGAATATGCCTGCAACTGTAGGCTCCATCTAGCTAACCTTCCGCTCAGATCTCGATGTGACATGAGCCACTTTAAACTGCTATGGTCAGTTATAACTGTGAAAGGCATCAATTCTATATATGGCCTGAATTTTTTAATGGCCATCACTACTGCCAAACACTCCCTCTCAGTCACCGAGTAATTTTTCTGAGCAGAAGTCAGTTTTTGTGAAAAATAAGCAATGGGATGTTCTCCACCCTCATCGTCTCTCTGAAATAATACTGCCCCTATTCCCAAGTCTGAGGCATCGCTTTGTACATAGAAATGTCTGGTAAAATCTGGGTGTGTCAGGACAGGACTACTTACAAGGGCTTGTTTCAATTTGTCAAATGCAACCTTGGCCTCCTCTGTGAACGTGAATCGTTTTCCTTTCTTCAGGGTCTCGAAGATGGGAGCCGCAATGGTGGCAAAGTCGGCAATGAACCTTCGATACCACCCTGCCGTACCCATGAAACTCCTCACCTGCTTTGCTGTTTTCGGGTATGTAAACTTCACTATTGTTTCCACCTTTGCCGGGTCAGTTTTAAGTTTGCCACCTCCAACAATGTAACCCAAGTACCTAAGCTCTTTGAAGCAGAACTTCGACTTGGTTACATTTATTGTGAGTCCTGCTTTAGCCAAACAACCTGCCACCTGCTCTAGCAATCCCAGGTGAGTGTCGAAGTCTGGCGAAACAACCAAAAGATCATCCAAGTAGACGAAAACTCTATCACGTAGTGCGCCAGGGATCACTTTATCCATTAAACGGCATAACCTTTGGGCTGCATTGCACAGACCAAAGGGCATGACGGTAAAATGGTAAAGCGGTCGTCCAGGCACTGTGAATGCAGTTTTCTCTCTACTTGAAGGATCCAGTGGAATTTGCCAGAACGCATCCTTCAGGTCGACACTAGAAATGAAATAGGTATCCCCCAGCCGACTGAGTAAACCTTCTATATGCGGTAATGGATAGGCGTCCTTGACCGTCAATGCATTGAGTTTGCGAGCGTCCAGGCACAAACGGTTCTTTTCGCCCCTTCGGACTAGAGTAACCGGGTGGCTCCATGGACTTTCGCTCTCCTCAATCACACCTAGGTCTAGCATCCTATCCAATTCCGCATATATAAGTTTCTGCACAGCCGGGGAAACGGGATAATGCCTATCTTTCACCGGGGTTGCATCGCGGGTGTCGATTGAATGGACCTCAGCTTTAGTCTTTCCCAAGCCATACTTGGTAAAGCAAGGAAATTTGTCCTTCACTGTTTGCAAACGAACTCGTTGCTCCTCGGACAAAGAATGGCTGTTAACATCACTGATCTCAGGCTCACCACAGAGGCTCACTTCCTGGAGTGACAAACCGTCCACCTGAGCAAACATTTGGAAACGTTTCATGAAGTCTACCCCCAGAAACAACTCACGACTCAGAGAAGGAACAAGATAGAATATGATAGAATGCTCCTGCTTCCTAAATTTGACATTAGTCGTCACCCTGCCAACTATTTTATGTGGGCTTCCATCAGCTGTTTTAATAAAAGAATGGAAATGCTTAATTTCCAGTCCCGCTCTCTCCACAAAGCTAAGGCAATTTTTCCCCAGACAGGAAACGGAGGCTCCGCTATCTAGCAATCCCTCTATCTCTTCACCATTTATATGTAATTTTGTATATAGCCGATTATCTTCCCCTTCAAATATGGTAGCCGAGGCTATTTCCTGCCGAATGCGTCTTCTCCTCTTATATCGTTCTCTAGCCTTCTTAATTTTATTGGAAACTTGACCGAAAATTCTTTCTCTCGCCTCGCAATATTCTCTTATTCTGATATGAAGCGGTTTCAACTCTCTCAATCTCGGTTTTACTTCTAACTTTATATTTTCTCTTTGTTCATTCTTTAAAATAGAAACTTTAATGCTGGAACTACTCTGCTCTGGGCTTAAACTGGGGTTGACCTCACCTGCCCAGACTGAGGTGGGTTCCTGTGCCGGTTTCCCTGACACTTCGGACAATCGGGGACGGTAACACCTTCTTGGCCACACCGATAGCAGAAAATCTTTCGAGGCTCCCGGCACTCTATCCAGCTGTGACCCATAACACCGCAGTTCCAACATTTATATTTGGATGTCATGGTCACAGCTTCAACTTCAATTTCACCTCGGGGTTCCTCTTCCATCTGCCAATCGAGCTCGTGCACTTTCTGTGGTGTGTTGTATCGTTGCTGCCTTTGGGTCCATAAAAGATTTTCGGCTTTCTTCACCTGCCTATAAAAATCACCCAAGCTATTTATCTGAGCCGAGAAGATCATTTGGGCTAAAGACGGCTTAAGGTTGCCTCTCATTATTTCCACTATCTCGTGCTCCCTGTATGGCGACTTTTGCTGTGTCCGTAGCCGCAGTACATCATTATAAAAATCTTCAAAATTCTCGTGTGGTAGTTGACGCCGATTTAAAATCTGCATTTGAAGCTGGAATTCATTTTCAAATCTTTGGTATTGCGCCAACAAAGCACTTTCCAACTCCTTCCATGTGCGAAACTGGACCAATTTCCGGTGGTTCCAATACCAATCGAGAGCTGGTTTTTCCAAAAGTTGGTGAAATTTGGTGATCAATACTTCATCTGGGCAATTATAATCTTTTTTAAGTTCACCCACTCGGAAAATAAATTCTTGGACGCTCATGGTTCTGTCGGTCCCATCAAAAGATACTCCCCATTTCGCCAAATTAAAACGCCCGGAGATTTCTGAGACGATACTGCTTGGATGTGGACTGGTATGTGTCTCGTGTGGCTCTGTTCGCATGCCTCTGCTGTAGATATTAGGCAACCTCTCGGTCGGCAGTATTGGGTGAGCTTGGACTCCGGTGACTGGTGGTGGTACCGATAAGCTTGTTGGTGGTTGTGCGGGTGCACCACTTGATGTGAACCCTGGTGGCGGTTGGTTGAAAGGACCAAGTGACAACGGTCTAGGATCGTGAATCGGTGTTGGATTTACTCGCTCCGGATATGGTAGTGGGTAACCCCTTGCTAGATTAGGCTGCTGAGACGTTAAGCCTGACGCCAATGCATGTGAAGACAGAATGACTGACTCCAAGGATGTGCGGGCTGGTACATGTGGTGCCGCTGCTGGCATCGTCAAACCGGCTTGTGAAAATAACTGATTAGTGCCGTCATTATCCCCCAACAACGAACGCTTGGTCGCTTCCGCAATTCTGGGTATCAGCACTCTCAATCTTTCTTCTTCCTGTTGACGGTATTGCAATTGGGACAGAGCGATGGCAGAATTAATAATTTCCCTGACTCCTGCACTGACTGCTGGATCTGCTGGCGGAACCACTGGTCTATTCTGCAACCCGGTCAAAACACTATAGTTTGGTGAAGCCACGCTTCCATGTGACCAAAAAGACGTGTTAAACGAGTTAGCGGCCTCTTGCATGCTTAATGGAACTGGTGGCGGTGCCGATGAATTGGACATTGATGATGAAATACCTTGAGCTGGGACGTCCCCATGTGCTAAATGTGCAATATGAGAAGCAATGGGACCACTATGCGCGGCAGTTGTAACCTGTTGTGCGTTAGAAGGAGCGCTGTGAACCGCGGTAACAACACTGCTTACGGCTGTAGCTTCGGAAGTGGTTACTACCCCATTTTGCCCTAGAATCGGTCTACCTGCCAAACCTGCACTCGCAGCTCTAGTAAGAGGCATATTGCTACTTGATCTAACAAAATTAGTAAACAAAAAACTCCGAAAAAGCGAAAAAAATCAAAATGAAGTCTGTCAAAAGATTTTGCTCGAAAGTAAACCACACGGTTTCAATTAAAGAAAAAATAAAATAAAAACAATTGTGGTAAGTAAAATAAAAAAATAAATTCAATGTAATTCAGTTCTTTCACAATTAATTCACACTTTTCACTTTTACAGGTTATTCTGTACGGCATACAAATTCTACTATCCGGCAGAATAATTTTGATGAAACAAACTGGAAAAATTCAAATACTGTTAGGTGGTGGATTTCTGGTCAAAATAGTGGTAAGTCAAGGTCAAATAAACTGTTTCTGTATGAATTTTAATATGTTTCACTTTTTTGCAGGGATTTGGTGAGTTACACTGGCAAAACTGGAATTGAAATGGACTAAAAACGGACTGAAAAATTAAAATGGAATATGGAATAGGCGGCTTGCACAGACATCCTCAAGAAGTTCCATGACAATACGACCAATGGTCGGAAGCCAAAATTGTCGCAGGACCGAAGGAAACTCTGGGTAAGTCTGTGATCAGCTACCAAATTCCGGGTACTGAAATTAAACATGGACGGACAGAAACTACAATCTAAAAAAAAAACAAATTCGTTTGAGACTAGCAATTCTCATTTGCATAGCAGCGCGTCACCTGCCTTCTTATAGGCTGCTTGGACGGGTCTCCACAAATGAGAACTGATAAACCAGACGAATTCCTTCAACGATATTACTTTAAGAAATCTGAAATTTTAACTTTACTAAAATATGAAATTTTTATTAAAATGCTAGTGCAATTAGAAGTATTAAACTAGAACGACTAAGCCACTAGAAAAAAACTAAAAATCATATTTTTCCAAATATAAATGATGTTTACCCAAGTCTTCGATGAAGCAACGCGTCAGGACTCTTAATTAAACCTAGACGGGACTCATTAAAGATTCATGGTAAACACATTTATACACTACGACTAAAAATTATTAAAAACTAACATGTCTCAGGCCCCACGTTCTGGGCGCCATTTTGTAACAACCGTGTTCTAGAAAAACGAAATGAAATCGCTGTGTTGACCATTAAGTGGCGTTGCCGGTATGCTGGCGTTTAGCGCGGCTATGGCTCGTCGGATTGGGGGTTGGTTCTTGCCACTTACAGATCTTTTCGGTTGAACAAACAAATAAAATCATACCGGACTTCAAACTAAATCAAAAAGGGGGTAAAAAGAAGCCTGAAACATGTTAACACCAAAATTAAAAAGAAGAAAACGTTCACCTAACTACAACCAAATCCCAAAATAACATTAGTTTTCCTCACAGAAACAGTGCTCCTGGCGGCTGACCAGCCAGGAGATAGCCCTCCCTCCGAGAACACCTCTCGCCATGACGTCTACTCATACCTGACGTCCCAGATCTGACCCTTGACTTACCGCATTTTATACCATTACCACCACCTTTTAAACAGGGCTTTAAGCCAAAGACATATTTATATTTTCTGTATAAAATTGGTACATTTATTTAAATTGCTTTAAATTCCCAAATAACAATTCGTAGAAGAAATTACATGCTAACTTTAATGTATGCGTTCAACTTTAATTATGAATTCAATTCAATGAACAAGTACAATTTTGCCAAAAATTACTGAAAAAAATCTCCTTTTTCTTCTTTTAGACTGCGCTTTCTGATGACAAAAATTATGGTGCAATAAAGGCAGCTTGCAATTGTGGTTCTTCCCAACAAGTAAGTTCGAAAGTATTGTTTTAAAGTTTAGCTTTTTTAATTATATTCCACGTTAATGTTTTTTTATTAATTATATTTCTTTCGTTTTAATTTCAGGAAAGGCAAACAAAGGTGGAGTGTCGATAGCACTTAAAATCGACGAACAGATTAAGAGCCTGGTTACCTAACCTTGAATAGAGCTCTGTTCAACGTCGTGTACCTGCAGACTAACCAAAAGGTGATTAAAATTTAAAATTGGCTTCATTTGTTTCCCCTTCTAATTCATATTTCTCCTTTTTTTTTTTACAGAAAAAACCGCGGAATTTAATTATGATGCTTCGTCGTCCGTCTGTCTGTCCGAGGTTTCTTGTATAAAATGTCGGTTGGGAATACCAAGCCACGCTGGGTTAGCAATGGCGCAAAATCAGCGGCTCCCTCGATGGATTGGATGGGCGATGGTGTGGCTTGTAGGCTCCAACTCTTCATGAATTTTTAGGTTTAAGATTTATTTTCTTGCTTTAGATTTTTAGTAAATTGTTTTGGTTTTTTTTTTCTTTAAACTTTGTTAAATTATTTCCAAAATTTAATTTTAAAAAAAGTTCAATTTACTTTTAACTTTCAATTTTTGTGAAAACTATTTGTTTAGTTATAAGTTTTCCTTCATCTTTTAGCATTTTGTTTTTAAATTTTGCTTAATTATTTTAAGGCTTCCAATTTTGTTAAAAAAGTTTGTATTTCGTGTTGTTTGTATATGTGTTTCAAATAAATAAAAACATTGAATTCACTTCTCAGCAAGTGGTTCATCACCAAATACTTTGTCGGCTTTTTTTCTTCGCTGGTTACAGGGAGCCACACATCCAATCTTCTTCGCAGGTAAATCAAAAAAGGACCGATTTTTCTTACAATTTTTGCCAGGAAATTCTGGCTGCCATTTTCCTCGCTTAATTTTTCCATTTTCTTTTTACATTATTCCCCAATATTGACATTTAAGTAATTGGAATAATCAGCTGTTTTTTAGTAATTGTTCTTCTTCTTCTTCTAGCTATCAATTATTTTCAGGGTTACCCCTTTTAAAGGCGCACACCACAAAGTCATGGCTAGGCATATTTTGTAACATTTCATAAAGGAAGTACAGAGCCGCACTAAAATCCTGCCGTCATTATCCATTATAACTTGACATTAATATGCCAAGCCTTGACTTCAAGCCTTTTATGTACTTGCACCCTAAGGGTGGAAATACATAAAGCGCTTTTCTGGCTGGCTTAAGTCATCGGCTGGCTTCTTCTTCGGAAATGAACAAAGGTGCCTAGGGCCAAAATCGAACTATGTCAACCTAAAACTGCTTTGTTTATCTACGAATAAGCCAGTCGATGACTTAAGCCAGCCAAATATGCTCTTTATGCATTTGCAGCCCAAAGTCCCGTAAGTGAGAGCAAAATGGGAGAGACATTTTGACATTGTTTTGTCAAAAATAAGTAGATTTTTAGATGTTTCCCCATACAGGATAAGATAAAAAAAGAACTGAAACAAAGTCAAACGCCACATTTTTTTTTTAATTTTATTGAATGAAAGCAAAAAATGTCGGAAATAGCATTAAATTTAAGAATAAGTTTAGATTTGTTCGAATTGGTCACATTTAGCACGAATCCAAACGGCCAATGAAACCGCCACACGCTGCGGTATTTTGGCCCATTTCCGGCGAAGCGTTTGCTTGAGGTGATCGACACTTTGGTACGTTTTAGTGCCAACATTGCTTTCCAAAATACTCCAGACACAATAGTCCAACAGTTTGGTATCCGGAGATTTTGGTGGCCATTGTGCGCTGGAAATGAAGCGAGGAACCTCATTTTGTAACCATTCTTGGGTGGAGCGTGCTGAGTCCGGTTGGAATGTCCAAGATCTGCGGCCAAAATGTTTGCGTGCCACAGGCTTTATTACACTCTCCCGAATATTTTCGCGATATTTTCTGATGCCACGGTCGATTAATACGAGCGGAGAGCGACCATCGGCTGTTATGGCGGCCCACACCATCACCATGGCCAGCGCTTGAGTTCTGGTGGCCAAGCGAAGGTGCACATTTTCAACTAAACTCTTTGGCAAGTAAACACGATCATTTTGTTTGTTTACAAACTGCTGGACAACGAATGTTTTCTCTCTCATCCAAGAAAACCAAATTCGGCAGAATACAACTTTCTGCCAAGCGAGGCAACTCTTTAGTTCTATTTTCTGTTCTCTCTGTTGCGGTGTAAATTCTTGCACTTTTGGAATTTTAATCCCGAGCTCATTTTTTAATATTTGCCACCGAATGGAATATTGTAATATGTTCAGCTCACGAGCCATGTTTCGGGCACTGCGAAACGTGTTTCGATCAAGTAACTTCTTTACTTTTCGAACAATTTCTGCTGATGTTGCTGTTTTCTTTCGTCCACTTTATTACATTCTCACGAAAATTTTCGCGATATTTTCTGATGCCACGGTCGATTAATACGAGCGGAGAGCGACCATCGGCTGTTATGGCGGCCCACACCATCACCATGGCCAGCGCTTGAGTTCTGGTGGCCAAGCGAAGGTGCACATTTTCAACTAAACTCTTTGGCAAGTAAACACGATCATTTTGTTTGTTTACAAACTGCTGGACAACGAATGTTTTCTCTCTCATCCAAGAAAACCAAATTCGGCAGAATACAACTTTCTGCCAAGCGAGGCAACTCTTTAGTTCTATTTTCTGTTCTCTCTGTTGCGGTGTAAGTTCTTGCACTATTTGGAATTTCAATGGCTTTAAACCGAGCTCATTTTTTTATTATTTGCCACCGAATGCGATATGTTCAGCTCACGAGCCATGTTTCGGGCACCGCGACACGTGTTTCGATCAAGTAACTTCTTTACTCTTCGAACAATTTCTGCTGATGTTGCTGTTTTCTTTCGTCCATTTCCTTAACGTCGGGCTACGCTACCAGTACCAGTATCACGGTAACGAGCAATGGTACGAGACACAAAAGATTTATTCACATTTAAATGCTGGAGTGCTCTAACGATAGCCGTTTGTGGTTTTCCAGCCAAATACAAAGAAATAACGCTTGAATTCCATCACGAATAAGTTTTTTTTTTTTCTGGAAAATTCTCACCAAAATGCTTTGGTACGCTTGTAAACAATATAATGAACTGTCACTGGAATAACTTTAACAGCTGTCGGAGGAATGGCTTAGAAATGACAGCAGTCTGAAGTTGGTTGCAGTTGCTGTTATGATATGCAATTTGTTGCGTGTGACTCATAGGTCAATTAATTAGATTTTTTTAAAGAACAAGAAAAAAGTTGCTAAGTTCGTCCGAGCCGAACTTTTAATACCCTCCACCATTTGGTAGGAACTTGAAAATTCTCGAAAAAGAATGACAAACTAGCACTTAATCATGACAAAATTAAGAAGGTAAAGTCATTTCAAATAAGCATTCCCATGTTTGCATTTTTTGTAATTTACCTTGTCAAATTTCACCGCACAATTGACAATGAAATGCTGTCAAATGAATAATTTCGACATACACACAGAAATACACATGAAACAGATCTTCAGGATCTTTTGCAATTATGATTTTGATATTTCCAGAAAATTTCATGCAATTTTTCCTTTTTTTTCAATTTTTTGAATATATTTTTTCTGTTGGTGATGGTATGTCTATCATTGTAATTTGTTAATAGAATACGGAACACAAATTTCAGTTCCCTCAAAAAATCTTTTTTTTTTTTGTGAGGAATTAAGAAGATATTTAAAAATTAACGAACAACGAATCGAGAACTCAGTATAAATATACCATGACTTCGAATTTGTGTACGCTTTACGTTTCTCTTTAGCATCCATTCGACCGGCGTACATTATATTTTGAACATAGGCCTTGGAGTCTTCATAGCCAAATGTCGACCTAGGTATCTCTACTTTGCCATCTTGCTAGACGTGAAAAAAAAAAACTATACTACTCCGCAAAAATTATTAAATTATAGAGAAATTAAAACATAAAACAAAGACATTCGGCAAAAAGTCAAAAGTTTAACGATCTACAAATTTAGTGTTTTTAAAATATCATGAAAAAATTAAACACACATTTGCATAAAACGTTTGCAAAGTGAAAGAAGAGACTCGCAAAGAAAATTGTGTGACGTGAAACGACCGAAAAGAACAAAATTCTTTTAGCAGGCTTTTCTTTTCGTTAAATCGTCTCGTTGAAAACGAAACACCACCAAAGGAAAACTCAGCAGGGCTTAAGGGAAACAGAAAGAAGGAAAATATAGTTTGGTTTTTCCACATTAAGTTTTAATTTTTATTATACATTTTAAGATAAACTAAGTCATTATCATATATATTTTTTCAATTGGCAATAGTTCTTCATTATTGATTTTTCATATTTTTTTTTCTTTCGAATACAACTCGCACACCACCAACATTCGGCGGTCTTATTTGTCGTAAAGAGAACAGACATCTCGCTCTTTAAACATTCACAATTGTGCTCTCTTCATCACTTATAATTCTCTTGTATTTTTTAATGCATCATTTCTTGTTTAATTTTGCCGCAAATATTTCATTTGTAAAATTTTAATGTAATTTTAAAAATCAAAAAAAAAAAAAAAACGAACGTCAAAAAATTGTAAAAAACAACAACAATAAAATTAATGTGCCAATATACGGCCAAAATAATTACCAAACAAACAACACAAATTGCTAACAACAATGATGAATATCCAGACCATAGAGCATGTGGCCGACTGTGTGCCACTGTATTTGCCGCACAGCCTTTATCTCAAGCCGCTGGCCAAGTTGAACATATCCGTGGCCTTGCCGGTAAATAAAATGGGCAAATCAATATCGAATCTTGATATAATGGAAAAGCTGGGTCAGGCTCTCAAGCCGGATAAATTCCTTGTGCTTAAGGTGAGACACGAAATTTGGCAAGTACAGCACTTTCGAAAGTAACTGAGGTTAATCAAATTTCTGTGTCCTACAGGTCTCGAAGACAACCGTGGACTTTATACGTTTCGAGGCGGAATTGGATGATCGATCACGTCTACGTTCCTGCATAAATCGTCTCGATGGCATTTCATTGAAAATCTCGGGTTTTCATGAAAGTTTTCGCGTTCGTGTCTCCGAGGCCAAGGATGATTTTCCAACGCGTCACGATTGGGATTCGTTTTTTCGTGATGCCCATAAAATGGATGAAATGAAAGCTGGCGAAAGACCCGACACGATACATTTGACGCATTTACCCATAAAATGGTTTTGTCCACGTCACATGGAAAACGAGGAAAATGTCAAGCCATCGGAGGGTATATTTAAGCGGATATTTGAGAAATTCGGCTGTGTCCGCTGTGTCGACATACCGATATGTGATCCCTATCGTAAGAAAATGAATGCCGACATCAATGGCATGAAGACTTTTGGTTTCGATCAGGAGATTCTTTTTGAAGCGTAAGTAAATGTTTATACGCTACACCACAAGGTGGTCAGGGTATTATGTCTTTGGGCATTTGTTTGTAACAGGCAAAAGGAAACGAGGTAGACCAATAGTTCCGTTTGACGAGCTGCATTGAATCACATTCTATTCTAACTCCATTTATGTATGTCCGTCCGTCTGTCTGTTCATGTATTTTTGTAAACAACGGTACAGGTCGCATTTATTGTTCCGATCCAGATGAAGTCATTTGCTTGACCCAAGGACGAACCCTATTAAAATTGGAGATAATTGGCCAACATTTTGATATAGCTCCTACACACATCTTCGTCCGATATGCTTTTTATTGTGCACCAAACGTGTAATTTCAGCCAAAATATTATGGAATTTTGCACATACGACCAGAATAAGCCTAAAAATAAGTATGTCAAATTTGGTGAAAATCGGTTCAGATATAGCTATAGCTACCGTATAGATTGTTCATTCGATTTTTTAAATTTGGCCCTCACAACCGTAATATGCATTCCGCAAAAAACTGCAAACAATTTCAGACTGCTGTCATTTCTAAGCCATCCGTCCGACAGCTGTAGAAATTATTCCAGTGACAGTTCATTATATTGTTTACAAGCGTACCTTGGATATTCCAACAGAACTCAGCACCATCGCACTCAGCACGCGCCACCCAAGAATGGTTACAAAATGAGGTTCCTCCCTTCATTTCCGATACTGCGGATACCAATCCGTTGGACTATTATGTCTGGAGTATTCTGGAAAGCAATATTGGCACTAAAAAATACCAAAGTGTCGATCACCTCAAGAAAGCTCTTCGCCGGGAATGAGACAAAATACTGCAGAGCAACATACGGGCAGCGTGTGACGGTCTCATTGGCCGTTTGAAGGCCATAATTTGCGCCAAAGGTGACCAATTCGAACAAATCTAAACTTATTCTAAAGTTTGATGCTATTTCCGACATTTTTTCTTTCATTCAATAAAACTAAAAAAAAGGAAAAATTATGGCATTTGACTCTCAAATACAGCTTAGAAATACCTTCGATAATTTTTTCCAGATCGGTTCAATTTTTTCCAGATGGATATAGCTCTCGTATATATCTTCATCCGAATTCGAGTTAATTTTTTATTATGTGAAACTCTACTAAATATGCAAATCGGTGTAGGGTATCATAAAGTCGGCCCCGCCCGACTTTTAAGACCACCTTTACTGAAAGTTTTAAAACCGATTGAGCTCGTCGATAAAATGTCAATTTTGTCTGAAGACATTTCAAGAAGATCAGAAGATTTAGATGCCTTATCCGCCATATTGTCTGTATGCAGCTGGGTCTCAGATTCCACCAAGATTTTCCTAGGCAAATTATGATTCCCCATACAGTTCCATTTTGAATCCAATTCTTAATGTCTTAAGAAATTTGTCTTAAACTTCACCATTTTCTTTTTTCCTTCCGTTCTCTTTTCTCAGTTATGTACAATTCGACGAATACGTGGGATTTGTTCGTGCCATGGATGAATTTCGTGGCATGAAATTGGTGCGTAAATTTATCGACAAGACCCAGGCCATAAATATCGGTGTAACCTTTGATACAACCAAACACTTGAGTGATGCTCAGATACAACGTCGTGAACGGGTACGCAAACATATCATTGCCAAAGCCAAGGCAGAGGAAGAAGAGGTCGAAAGGCGCAAGAAATTGGAATTGGAAAAATTGGAAGAACAAAGGTAATGCTAATGTTTTATTTTTGTAGAAATTCTTTAATATTTACTCTAATAATGAAACGATAGATGTGTTGGAAGTTTTTGTAAAGATATGAGGTTTGGGGTGTTCCTGAAAATGTGATTATTATAAAAGAAAAAAACTGTCATTTAAAATCGGAAGTTTCTGTATGAGATGCCAACGATGACGATTTACTCATCATTGGGTTGGAGTTCCTTTCGCCGCTATTCATATGTTTATATTTTCGGAATTTATGAACTAAAGTTTCCTTAAATTCAAAAGCCGTTTTACTGGCATGCCGTTTTTATATCATAGTCGATCAGAGAAGGGCGGTGACCTATTGATTTTGATTTTGGAAACGGTTTTAAAAATCCAAATATTTTTATTATACCATTTTTGTAAAACAATCCTCCTCATGTCTTTACGAAACGAAAAGCTTTCTCAGTAGTTGTTTAGCGCATTTCTTAAGCAACCAACGACACGCTGGTTTAAGAATAACAATAACAAAGCCAAACACACGAGAAAGAATAATAAAAATACAAATAGTATTGAGAGAGAAAGAAAGAAAGAAAGAAAGAAAAAAGAAACACCACCAAAAAAATCAATCCCTCAAATGAAAACAAAACAAAATAAAAATGCCTAGAGAACGCAATCCACCTGCAAACACACAAAATTACAGGAAAAAAGAAGAAGAAGATAAGCTAGCCGAACTGGAGCGACAGCGTGAACGTGAAGAAAAACGCAAAGAGAAACATCTGAAAAAGATCCAAGAAAAAGGTTCCATTGAAATATCACAAAAGATACGCGTCGAAGAGCGGAAACTTATGATAGCCCAAAGGAAATTGGAAAGTATACGGATATTGGAACAGGTCTTCAGTCGGATTAAGGTAAGTAAAAGGAAGAAACACAATGTGTACAGGGTGAGATAAAAAAAAACTGCAACAAAGCCAAACGCTGTAACTTTTACATTTTTTTTTTCAAATTTCATTGAATGAAAGTTAAAAATGTCGGAATTAGGATAAGTTCAGATTTGTTCGAATTGGTTACCTTTGGCACGAATTATGGCCTTCAAGCGGCCAATGAAACCATCACACGCTGCCCGAATGTTGCTCTGCGGTATTTTGGTGAGGTGATCGACACTTTGGTATTTTTTAGTGTCAACATTGCTTTCCAATATACTCCAGACACAATAGTCTAACGGATTGGTATCCGGAGATTTTGGTGGCCATTGTGCGCTGGAAATGAAGCAAGGAACCTCATTTTGTAACCATTCTTATGTGGCGCGTTCTGAATCCTCTTGGAATGTCCAAGGTCTGCGGCCAAAATGTTTGCATGCCCATGGCCTTAATACACCCTCCAGAATATTTTCGCGATAATATTCTGCATTTATTCTGATGCCACAGTCGATTAATACGAACAGATAGAAACAATCGGCGGTTATGACCGGCGCTTGAGTTCTGGTGACCAAACAATGGTGCACATTTTCAGCTGACCTCTTTGGCAAGTAAACACGGTCAGTTTGTTTGTTTACAAACTGCTGGACAACGAATGTTTTCTCATCGAAGAAAACAAAATTCGGTAGTTTTCGACTTTCGCCCAAGCGAAGCAACTCTTTAGCTCTCTTGAGTCTATTTTCTTTCTGTTGCGGTGTAAGTTCTTGCACTTCTTGGAATTTCAATGGCGTTACCCCGAGCTCATTCTTCATTATTTGCCGAATGGAATATTGCGATATGTTCAGCTCACGATCGAAGTTTCGGCCACTGCGACACGGGTTTCGATCAAGTCGCTTCTTTACTTTTCGAACCATTTCTGCTGATGTTGCAGTTTTCCTCCGTCCACTTCCTTGACGTCGGGCTACGCTACCAGTATCACGGTAACGAGCGATGGTACGAGACCCAAACGATTTATTCACATTTAAATGCTGGAGTGCTCTAACGATAGCCACTTGCGGTTTTCCCGCCAAATATAAAGAAATTAGACTATCACGCTTGAATTCCATCACAAATATTTTTTTTTCTGGAAAATTCTCACCAAAATGCTTTTGTACGCTTTTAAAAAATATAATGGGTTATCACTGGAATAATTTTAACAGCTGTCGGACGGATGGCTTAGAAATGACAGCAGTCTGAAATTGGTTTGCAGTTTTTTCATCTCACCCTGTATATTACCTTCACAACAGATCTTGTGAAGAGAGTTGGATGCTTATTTCGTTTTCTTTAAGCGTTGTGTTATTCAAAATCTTGAACCCCATGTGGGGGAGTGTTCCGATCTCTACCATCTTTATAACAGATCCTGTGTTGATGGAAATATTGAGATGTGCCAAGTCTGAATGGAAACGGATATTAGTTTTGCGTTTTATGAGCTTCATGGCTATTCAAAATTTTGACCCTTTTGTGGGGGAGGTACCACAAGAAGAAGTTGTCCGATATATTCCATGTTCACAACAGACCTTAGATTAATAAAAATATTTTTTTTTTGATGTGTGTAATTTGAAGACAATTGTATTCTTGACTGTTTCTAGGGAAGGTACTTGATGGAGTGGACCGATAATGTCCATCATCGCACATGACCTAGTACTGATGCGGATATTAGGAAGTGCAAAGTTGCAGCAAAAACGGATTATCCTTTCTTTTTCTGTGCAGTAAATTTTCATATTTTGTGGGGGAGTTACCTGAAGGAGTGAACCGATATTGCCCATTTGCGAACTCGATCTAAGTTTGACAATAATAATACGATGTATCAAGTTTGAATCATAGCGCATACTCCCTTCGAGAAACAGGCAGACGGACATCGCTAGATCGACCCTAAATGTCCTGAAACAGATTTTGTCCTAGGGTCTGAAACCGTTATTCCGATTATGCACGTTTTGGCCGTATCAAATGATATTTACCCTCTGTAGCCATACTGACTGAGGGTATAAAAAGACCAACTGGCCTTATATAAGAAGATCTGTTGGTACTCTGTTAGATGTTTTTAATTTCATGTAAAACAGTTTTTGCTTCCATAATTTGGAGTTCTATGAGATTACCTCATTTGATCATCCTATTAGAAGACGATTGGATCTTAGAAAGACATTTGGTTCTCTATGAGAAAAATCTTCGGTCTTTTATAAAGATGTTTTTTGGCCCTCTATTAAAACTCCATATGGTATTTTCAGAAGCACGCCAACTTGTCTATATAAGAAGTCCAACCGGTCTTCTTTTAACATGTAGAAAAAACATTTGATCCTCCATTGGAAGTCATTTGTTCTTCAGCAAAAAAAAAAAAAAAAAAAAAAACTTCCTGGTCCTCTGTAAAAAATTCGTGTCGACCAAACAACTGGTCTTCCCTGGGAACTTTTGAAGAATCTACTTCGACATTTATGAGAAGGCATTTTGCTTTTCTAACATAAGCTTTATTTTAGCTTCACAGAAGACCACCACTTCATATTTAACCCATTCTCCCATTTCCTTTTGCTATTGCAGCTAAAACATTTGGCCAAATACGGATCCACATCGTCCCAAAAATATCAAGCGGAAATGGCCCGCGACACCGTGCGTGAACGTCTGGTTGAGAAATACAAAAGCGCCACTGAAAAGCTACTCAGTGATCAGCAAAAACTTGTTGAAGATATAAAAAATCAAACACCTCTAATTGGGCTATTAAAGACCAAAAAAGATAAAGATGCGGCGACAATTGCAACACCGAAAGTTGCCACCGCAGATGCTGTACCTGCCGCCATTGCAAATCCAGCAGCTGCGGCTGCTGCAGCCGTAGCCGCAAATGCTGCGGCCAATCCCTTCAAAACTATTGCTGCTTTGGGCGCCAATTATAATACGGAGGCTGCCGCTGAATGGATGAAGTCTTTGTCAATGTTTCCGTATGGCAATATACCGGGTCTGTTTCCCGGCATTGCACCAATGTACCGGCCACCTTCATTTCCGGTTTCAATGAATTATCGTGGATTTGCGCCGCGCATACGAGGCCGTGGAAGAGGACGTGGTCGAGGTCGTGGCGGTTATGAGGGTCAGTCGTCATCGTCATATAGTAAATATCATTACAATCATGATGACAGAGATCGGCGTTATGATGATGACGAGGAGGATGACGATGGCAGGGGTAATTATCATAAATCATCATATTCGAGAGGAAGGTAATTTACAAATGGCCCAATGATTGTCTATTGCAGTTTTAATTTTCCTCTCTGCTTTCTTTTCAGACGCTATTCCCGCTCTCGCAGCCGTTCCCGAGATCGCCGTAGTCGTTCCAGATCTCGTTCAAGATCCAGATCACGTTCCAGATCTCGTTCTCGTTCCCGTTCCAGATCTCGTGATCGCCGCTCCCGCTCCAGGACACGTTCTCGTACCCATTCCCGCTCACGTCATCGTCACTACTCGAAACGGTCTCGTTCCAGATCACGATCCAGATCTTATTCTCGTTCCGAGAGCAGATCACGTTCACGCTCTCGTGTACGTTCACGTGAAGACAAAAATCGCAGCAAATCATCACGTTCCAAGTCACCAACTCAGCTGCGACCCCCGGAGAAAGTAAATCGAAAACTTGTCTCGACTCGGCGTTCACGTTCCACCTCACATGAATCGAGATCACGTTCACGTTCTCGTTCCCATTCACGGACACATTCAAAGCGGTCGTGGTCTCGCCGTGACGATGGTAGTCGTGATCGCCGCTCCTCACCGTCGGCGGCGCGAAGCAGCAAAGTTGTAATCGAAACCGATGAATTGGTTAAATCGGCAGAAATTATTAAAACCACCATCGAAAAGGATATGCAGGAGAGGATGCGTCATGAGAAACGTGAAATACGGGAAACTTTCACCAAACGCCACAAGGATGTTTTGGCGCACAATGCCAGTTTGGCCGTGACCAACAATTCATCAACAACGGGCAGCAGTAGTGCTGGCATTGACAGTGGTCATGCCACCTCAGAGCATTCAGCCAATGAATCGTCTGTCCATGATAAAAATTCATCGCGTGACGATGAACACGATGAACGTGGGGAGGATGGTGACAACGATGATGATGGAAAGATCAGGTCACGTAGGGAAAAATACTATTCGGAATCGTCGAGACGTAACTCAGCCAAAGAAGAACATTCTTCGCGACACCATTCAATGTCGGAACGTCGCGGCAATTCCACAACGGAAAATCACACATCCAAACATCATTCCTCCGAACGCAGTTCAAGGCGTAGAACTCCTGAGCATGGCACTAAACGTCGATCGTCGGAGCGTAGTTCAACAAGACATAAATCACCAGTGGAAGCCGAAGAATCCAGCTCCCACAAAAGTCGTCGTAAGATATCAGAGCGTAGTTCAAGATTACCCTCATTAGATCGTAGCCCCAGTTGTTAAGTCTTCAAACAATGTTTTTCGGTCCGTTTTGAGGTATAATTATGAAATTATATCTTTTCGTTTAGTTCATTAATTTCCTGCTTCAATTTAAGGTTAATTTTTTTTACAAAAAAAAAAATCTTTGATTTTGTTTTCAACATTAGTTTTATAAATAAATGTAAAAGAAAATAAAGTTGAACAACAATTTTGATATGATTTTTTCACGTTTGGCTCAGCTGGATTGGTGTGGTGGAAGGAGACTGAATATTCTACAAAAAAAAAAAATAAATAAATAAATAAAAAATAAATAAATAAAAAAATAAATAAATAAAAATAGTAGCTTCCAATTGCTCTGTAACAAGTAAGAAAGCTGTAAGTTCGCCCGAGCCGATCTTTGAATACCCTCCACCATTTGGAACGAATTTGGCAATTTTCAAAAAAATAAAATCCATTAAAAATTCTATTAAAATCTTAAAAATACCAAATGTAGACGTCGGATTAGGGTCTAAACGACGACGAGGACCTGCATAGGCCAGATTTGTTATAAGCCATTACAATATTCAAATGCAGAAAAGTAGCTAAAATCATCAACATACCGAATATATTGAGGTATTATATGGGGGCTACACCAAAACGTGGACCTGCACAGGCAATCTCCTGTCATAGGCTGTAGTATCCATTACGAACAAAATTGAAACAATTCCGGTGAATAATGTCGCTAAAATCATCAAAGTTCCGAATAACTGGAGTTATCGATATAAGGTGGTTAGACGATGGCGTGGACCTGCACAGACAATTTTCTGTCATAGGCTGTAGTATCCATTACGAACTTCAAATACCAAATTTGAAACAATTCCGGTGAATAATGTCGCTAAAATCATCAAAATACCGAATATAGGAAGGTACCGTTATATGGGGCCTATATTAAGACGTGGACCTGCACAATCTCTTGTCACCTGCTGTAGTATCCATTACGAACTTCAAATACCAAATTTGAAATAATGTCGCTAAAATCATCAAAATACCGAATATCGGGAAGTATCGTTATATGGGGGCTATACAAAGACGTGGACCTGCACAGACAATTTTCTGTCTTAGACTGTAGTATCTCCATACTATGGTGGGGGATATAAAATCAAGTAGCATCAAGTTTGTTCCAATTATAATTACCGGCACTCTTTCGATAACTGCCTTCAGTCATTATCCGAATGGTCGTTCGACTTGAGATTGGAGAGATTTGAATCAAAACATTTTTGAAAGCATCCTGCAACATCTGGTAATGACTCATCAGATGACTTGGTAAGACGTGGATACGAGGCGATTCGGGCTGAGAGATCGGGGTCCATGGCGAAATTGGACCTTAAACTTGTAGGAATGATCACAGGTTACCATGGCTTACAATTGGGGTGGGGTAAAGACACCGATTACTGCAGGTTCTGCCAAAATGTGGAGGAAACTGAAACGATCGAGCAATTATTCTGCCACTGTCCAACTCGCTTCGGTGAGAGACACAGGCTAATGGAGAAACAAATTATGCAATAATCCGTTAATCAGACAGAAGACTAAAGTAGCTAAAGGCAACTCGTTAACATCCTCAAAATTCGGTTATGAAGATATCAACTAGCGATTTTTTGCCGTTTGCAGATTAAAATGGAACTGGTCCGACTATTAGGTTAGGTTTGAAGATGCGAACTGTTTTGTAACAAACAAAATAAAGATCAAGTAAAATAGTATCTGTCGGTTTTGCCGACAGATGTATAGCCCACAGAATTGAGTTATGATTATTCAAACTGTTGAGCCTTTATCTGGGGGAGGTTCCGAAGCAGTTGGCCAATATTGAGCAATTCGTATCTGAACTAAGATTGCTATAAATATTACAATGTGACAGATTTGGACTATATCGTCTACTTCCTGTACTTTGCGTGAGGTAACAGATATAGCGGACCGAAGCATTCCATTTTCGTCTATGCGAAATCATAAATCAGAAGAAATTGTCCGATCTTTACCATCTTTATAACAGATCTTGTGTTGATGGAAATATTGAGATGTGCGAAGTCTGAATGGAATCGGATGTTAATTTCGTGTTTTTTTGAGCTTCGTGAATATTCAAAATGTTGACCCTTTGTGGGGGAGGTACCAGAAGGTGTGCACCGATATATCCCATCTTCACACCAGATCTTGGATTAATAAAAATATTGTGATGTGTGTAGTTTGAAGAGAACAGTATGCTTATTTGGGATTTTGTGATTGTTTTTGTTAATCAAAGCCTTGACCCTTTGTGGGGGAGGTGCCAGAAGGAATGGACCGATCTCTACCATATTTTTAACAGATCTTGTGTTAATGGAAATATTGAGATGTGCCAAGTCTTAATGGAATCGGATGTTAATTTCGCGATTTATGAGCTCCATGAATATTCAAAATTTTGACCCTTTGTGGTGGAGGTACCAGAAGGAGTGGACCGATATTTTCCATCTTCACACTAGAGCTTAGGTAAATAAAAATATTGTGATGTGTGTAATTTGAACACAATCGGACTCTTACATCACATTTTATTAGAGTTATAATTATTCCGAATTTTGACCCTTTGTGGGGAGCTGACGGATATTGTCCATTTTCACACCCAACCAAGCACTGATGCAAATATTAGAATTTGCAAAGTTGAACAGAAAATATATTTTTTGAAATTTTCGACCTTTTGTGGGGCCGATATATATTTCATCTTCACACCAGACCTTGGGATAATAAAAATATTGTCATGCATGTAATTTGCAGACAATCCGACTCTTCATCATCACATTTTATAAGAGTTATATGTTCAGGTAGCAGATAGGTGTTTCCGGGAAATCATCAAAGCTGCAGCCGCTCAATATATTCGACCTGCTGGTCGAATACCTGTCACAAGACCAAATTTCCCAACAGAGGCAGGGAACTTACTCTAGGGGTAAACAGGATAGTCGGTGAGCATAAGTGGGAAAAATGGCTAGAACATCTGAAGCATTGCAACATCAGTACCGGATCCTACCAAACCTACCCATCTATCTCCTGTCTCGTTGTGGACCCAAACCGTACAGGTTGCATCCTTTTTGATACTGGACTTAGAGGCAGAACCCCCATTGAGAAGAGTCAGATCGAACACAGCAGTATGAGCTGCTACAGCAAGAACAACAGCCATAGGTCAAACAGCCATAAGTCAAAATCGGTCGGACATTTGACTCATATAACTATTTGATGATATATGGTTTCAGTTCTCAGCTCTTTTCTATGGACTTATGGGCAGGAGTAGAGTGATATTAAGCCTCGTTTGGCGCGTTCCTAGATGTTTCTCTTCCAGTTCAAACGCTGGTCTACGATGGTATCGAGATACTTGGCTTCAGACAAAAGACTCAATGTGACGCCATCCAGCAATGGTGATGGCGATACAAGTTTCTGGGAGTTTCGGCTTCCTCGTAAAAAGAAAAGGCTCTGTTTAAGACGTCAAACCCATTGCCTCGTGCCATCGCTCGTTGCCGTGATACTGGTAGCGTAGCCCGACGTCAAGGAAGTGGATGTGGACGGAAGAAAACAGCAACATCAGCAGAAATGGTTCGAATGGTTCTGCAGAGCAACATTCGGGCAGCTTGTGACGGTTTCCTTGGCCGTTAGAAGGCCACAATTCGTGCCAAAGGTGACCAATTCGAACAAATCTAAACTTATTCTAAAATTTAATGCTAGTTCCGACATTTTTTGCTTTCATTCAATAAAATTAAAAAAAAAATGTAATAATTATGGCAGTTGAATTTTTTGCAGTTTTTTTATATCACCCTGTATGTCGAGGTGTAACTTGAGCTATACAGGTTCTTCTCAATGTAGCCCACAATGTCGTGTTGCACTGTATCAAGAGACTTGCCTATCATGTAGGCGTGTTGTGAGGTGCTTAACGTCGTTATAGGTAGCGAAACAGCCATTCGGCCCTATTACGGTTGTCGTCAGCGTCGCATAATGAAGTCGAGGCGACAATAATGATATTAGGGTTGTCGTTTTTTGTCGATAGCGACAAAAGATTGCTATTTGACCCTATTATGGTTGTCGTCAGCGTCGCATAGTGAAGTCGAGGCGACAATAATGATAGAAGGGTTGTCGTTTTTTGTCGATAGCGACAAATGATTGCTATTTGGCCCTATTATGGTTGTAGTCAGCGTCGCATAATGAAGTCGAGGCGACAATAATTATATTAGGGTTGTCGTTTTTTGTCGATAGCGACATATGATTGCTATTTGGCCCTATTATGGTTGTCGTCAACGTCGCAAAATGAAGCCGAGGCGACAATAACGATAATAGGGTTGTCGTTTTTTGTCGATAGCGACCAATGATTGCTATTTGGCCCTATTACAGTTGTCGTCGTCATCGCATAATGAAGTCGAGGCGACAATAATGATAGAAGAGTTGTCGTTTTTTGTCGATAGCGACAAATGATTGCTATTATCATTGTCGATACAACAGTCGATGTGAAGTCGAATTTTAAGAAAATCTGTCGCCGTAAAAAGTTGTGACGACATTGTATTTTTTAGTCGACGTTGATATTGTAACTTTTTATACCCTACACCACATAGTGGTAAGGGTATTATGTCTTTGTGCATTCGTTTGTAACATGGAGAAGGAAGCGAGATAGACCCAGAGTTACTTTTGAGGATCTCCATAGAATCACTTTCTGAGTTGATTTATGCATGTCAGTCCGTCTGTCCGTCCGTCTGTCCATGTATTCTTGTGAACAAAATGCAGGTCGCATTTATTATCCGATTGAGATGAAATCATCCAAACAACATGTGTTTGGCCCAAGGACGAACCCTATTGAAATTGGTGATAATCGGTAAAAATTTAGATTTAGCTCCCATATATCTTCGTCCGATTTGCCTGTTATTTTGCCCAAACGTGTAATATCAGCCCGAATAGTATGGAATTTTGCACATACAACCAAATTAGGCCTAAGTATGCCAAATTTGATCGAAATCGGTTTAGATATAGCTATAGCTCCCATATATATATTGTTCATCCGATTTGTTATTTTTGTCCTCCGCAGCCGTAATATGCACTCTGTAACGACAATATTTGGGGAAATATATCAAATGCAGCTCCTAAATACCTTTGCTAAATTTTATCGAGATCGGTTCAGAGATTTGGATATAGCTTCCATATATAACTTCGTCCGATTTGCCTATTATTGTGCACCAAACGTGTAATATCAGCCCGAATAGTATGGAATTTTGCACATACAACCAAATTAGGCCTGAAAATAAGTATGCCAAATTTGATCGAAATCGGTTTAGATATAGCTATAGCTCCCATATATATTGTTCATCCGATTTGTTGTATTTGTTACCCACAGCCGTAATATGCACTCTGTAACAACAATATTTGGGGAAATATATCAAATGCAGCTCAGAAATACATTTGCTAAATTTTATCGAGATCGTTTCGGAGATTTGGATATAGCTCCATATATAACTTCGTCCGATTTACCTTTTATTGTGCACCAAATTTCTAATATTTGCCCAAATGGGTTGGAATTTGGCACATACGACCGAATAGAGTCAAAAAGCTAGTATGAAAATCGGTTCAGATATAGCTATAGCTCCCATATATATTGTTCTACTGATTTGTTGTATTTGTTACCCACATCCGTAATATGCACTCCGTAACAGCTCAGAAATATCTTTGCCAAATTTTATCGAGATCGGTTCCGATTTGGATATAGCTCCCATACATATATCTTTATCTGATTTCAAATTAGTTTTGCACCAAATGGGCAATACAAGTCCGAATTTAAAAGATACAAATGCTTCAACATATTTATTCCCTTGAACTTTAAATTATAATTATAATCATAGCGTGTATGATTGAATTCTCCCATAAAAATGTTTAATTGTTGTGTGGAGCTCTACTAAATTAGCAAAGTGATATAGGGTATCATAAAGTCGACCCCGCCTGACTTTAGGACTTTGTTTACTGGTTTATTTTTCCAAAAGATTCGAAATTAGAATTCAAAATAAAAAAAATATCTTTTTTGACAATAACAAGGGAGTGTTGCCAACGTTTTTTTTAATTGTTGCCAACTTTTATTTTAAACTGTCGATGTCGCTTCTATGCCTTACCCATGGTAGAAAAATACAGCATCAACGCTTGGGAGCATTGATATGTCAAAATTTTTAAAATTTATTTTCAAATATAAGTAGCTTTTTGTATGTTTTCCTATACGACGTCATTCGGAGGTTATTGTAAAATGCCATTTTCAAAAATTTTTACAAATAAAAAAAAATTTTCATTCACAATTTTCAATTCCAAAATTGGTTTGACATTTCATTGTCCCAGCAGCTGCGTCAATGCGTCTACCAGTATTCTTCTGCCATGGCCTTACCATAGTACCATTCTTGAATCGAAGCGACGGCGAGGGCAACTCGCACATGAAGTCAACGACAACTATAGTAACGACAACCGTAATTGGGCCGATTGCATATTTGAGACCCCCCACTCCGCCTCTGGTGACCGATTTCCTGATGGAACTTTCAATACTTTGCATGTTGCCGCACCGGAAAAAGCAAATCGCATTTTTTTTGTACCTTATTTTAAGTTTGTTTTATATTAATTATTTTTTCTTCTTCTCTCTTTTTTTAAAGTTATTACAGGAGATTTTTTCTGTTTGTTTGTTTTTTGTTTTTTCTCTTCTTATTTTTTTTCAAGTTTTGTTTTAATATTTATATTTAGACATATTTTTGTTTTATAAGATCTAGCTTAAAAATTACACAAAAAGAGAAGATAAAGTAAGAATTGTGGAAAGGGGAATTGTGGAGGGAATAGGCAGAAGTTGGGTAGGCATGTATGTAGGTGTTTTTTTTTTGCTGTGCTATAAAAAAAATTGTTAATAAAAATAAAATTCTTTACAATCATAATGACGTGCAGTTGATTTAAGAAAATGAGAAAAAAAAAAACACAACAAAATAATGAAATATACATTGCAATTTAAATGGAAATAAAAATGGGTTTCTACTGATTTAATTGTTGTTGTTGCTGTTATTAAAAAATTAATTCAAAGCTTAATATGTACTTAGATTTCAAATTAAATACCAAATTATTTTAGTTTTTATAAAATTTGTTTCACTATTTTCAATAGCAGTGGGCGCTGTGGGTTTTTCTCGTTTAGTTCCCAGGAAGATGGAGAGGAAGTTCTCTTAAAAACGTCGATTGTTACGGCCACGATTGCGACCTCCGCCGCCGCCGCCACCACCACCACCACCTCCGCCATCATTACCACGATTATTACGTCGATTGCGTCTATTATTTGAATTATTTTGGTTGTTGCCATTATTGGAATTCGATTTGTTATTGGAGTTGTTCTGCGGATTGGAAAACATGTCACTATTTTTCTCATTATTATTATTGTTGTTGTTGTTAAAGCCATTTTGATTTGGCCCACTGGACCAGGGACCACCCGAGTTATTCGCCCATGGTCCCGGTGATGGTGATTGAAAACTATTGTTATTGTTGTTATTGGGTTGCGGCGAATCTGTCATACGTTCCGCTGGCGGCTGGGATTTCAAATTCAACAAACATGGCAGGAAAGGTTTCTTTAGACTCAACAACTCTTTAACAAACACCGCTTGGGGATTATGTTGTCTCGGCTCAAAACGACTTTTCTTCGAGGGTGGTGAACTCTCGCGACCCTCCAACGTGGGTGACATAGATCTCGAACGATCTCTGGCCGGTACAACGTCTCTCAGCTCCTCCAATTTGCCGGCATCGATGTAATTATTTAGATAATCCGGTCCCTGGCGTACGGCCAACATAAGTCTTGAATCCGGATGGACCCGTATGAAACGTCCGTACACCAAGATGCCCACAATGGCCTGAGGATCCATTGTGGTCAATACGCCACTCGCCAACATGCCTTCAATGGCATTTTCACTGATCTGTTGCGGTGACAAATCACCCTTATCCTGTTGTCTGCGATCGCGCACGCTAAACGCATCATCATCCATGTCGTCGGGCCGCCTTGTTCCCGCCCATTGGGCCTGGAAGTTACGTGGTATGGGCTTGCTGTAGGGCACCTTCTTTTCCGCTTCACGATTTGAATTCTTCGATGGATCCAAATCGAGACCGGGTATAAAACCTTTATCCGCGGTCAGACTTTCGGTGAATTCTACCTTGTCCTCTGGGCCCATGCCCGGTATAATGGCATCATCGTATTCGCCATCATCCAAGGCAGCTAAACTGGCAGGTAGAGTATTCAAATTGTATTTGTCTCTCATCAAATCGCCCGGACGATTTCGGGTCCAGAATTTAATTGTGTGATCATTGGAGCCGGAACACAAGATGTGACCCAACGGATGCCAGGCCAACGTCCAGACAATGCTGTCATGGGCAGTCTCAACACAGCCAATTTCTTTGTCGGTCCTAAATAAACGGAAAATTACTTCAGTTTTTTTTTGGTTATTTTTTTTCAAACTCACCCCACATTCCAAAACAATATGGACCCATCTGAACCACCCGAACAAAACAGACCCTCATGTATTGGATGCCATGACACGGAACTGGCTTCCTTTTTGTGGCCACGAAAGACCTGGGCCTCTTCCTTTAGATTGCGTATATCGAACAGTTTGAGCAAATGATCTCTCGAAGCGGTTATTAACCAATTTCCATTATCATTCCATTTCAAGTCCATCACAGTCGATTTGTGGGCATGCCTGGAAGAGAAGAGTATATGTTTAAAATAATGGAAATTTGATTGCGTAGCTTGAGGACTTACAGCGTAGCCAAAGCTGTACCACTTTTGGGATCCCATAACTTTATCGGTTGCTGATTATCTTTACTGCCGGACACAATCAGACCTTTTTGTGGATGCCAATGGACACACTTGACATCGGCACCATGACCTGCGAAATGAAGAATGTGAAATTTTAGGCTATGCTATGCTATTGAATGAAATAAATTTAAATGGAAGATTCTCACTAAAAATGCTATTTTTTGTAAAAACGTCCACTCTTACATCTTCGGACATTTTCGAAAGAAGGGCAGGTTTTCAAATATTAAAAAAGTTCGCACGCTTTTTGCATTTTACTAATCTGTTGCGGTTGTCCGTCCTTTGACATTTTCGATCCACTCTCACAAAAGATGTCGATATTGCACAACAAAATCATATTTTCAGAATCATATTGATCTTGAGGCATACATTGAAAAGTCTTAACAGTCAATGGAGATCGTTATCGAACCATGCTGAATGAATTTTTGAACACAAAAATTGAAGAGGAGGATATTGGCAACAATTGCTTTCAACAGGACGGTGCTACCTGCCACGCGGACAATTGAGAAAATATTCAATCCTTTTTAGAGTAATTTAACGAAATTGTATGTTATTTTCGTGCGTCAATATGGAAGTAACATTAGATGATTCATTCCTGAACATCTCCCACAATAGGTCAAATTTTGAAAGTGGGAACAATACATCTGATTTTATTCAAAATTCAAAACTTCTCAATATTTTTGTATTTATAAGATCTTGTGTTAAAATGAATATCTTGACCCACTCTCTTTGGTATCTTCCCCACAAATATTTAAGCATTTCGAAAAAAACCTCAAAACCTCCTACTTAGCGAAGGGAGAACCCTATGTTGTTTAAACTTGGGCCATCATTGCTCTGTTCCAGAACCTACAAGATTCTACTATTTTTGCAATATTTTTCGATATCGAAAATCTTAGTAATAACTTTTATATTCTTGGACCACAGACCACAAAATATTTAGAAAGTCGAAAATGTAGCGAGAAATCCATATTTGACTTTTTTAAAATTTTTGCATTCAAATATTTCTGTCCATATTGGAAGTTTATACTTTGTATTGGAAAAACTGATTGAGCTAAAATTCTGAAAAACGTGAGAGTCCAGGATAGATGCACCAAAGTGTGTTTGAAAACTCTTTACAGGGTGAGAAGAAATAACTGCAACCAAATTCAGACTGCTGTCATTTCTAAGCCAATCGTCCGACAGCTGTTAAAATTATTCCAGTGACAACTCATTATATTGTTTACAAGCGTTCAAAAGCATTTTGGTGTGATTTTTTTCCAGGGAAAAAGTTATTCGTGATGGAATTCAAGCGTGATAGTGTGATTTTTTTATATTTGTCTGGAAAACTACAAGTGGCTATCATCAGAGCACTTCAGCATTAAAATGTGAATAAATCTTTTTTGTCTCGTACCATTGCAAAAAACAGTAACATCAGCAGAAATAGTTCGAAAAGTGAAGAAGCGACTTGATCGAAACCCGCGTCGCAGTGTCCGAAAAATGGCTCGTGAGCTGAACATATCGCAATATTCCATTCGGCAAATATTGAAAAATGAGTTCGGGGTAAAGCCATTGAAATTCCAAAAAGTGCAAGAACTTAGAAAAAGACTGCTTCGCTCGGCCGAAAGTGGTGAACTGCAGAATTTGGTTTTCTCCGTTTGTAAACAAACAGAATGATCGTTTTTACTTGTCAAAGAGTGCACCTTCGGTTGGCCACCAACTCAAGCGCCGGCCATGGAGATGGCGTGGGCCGCCCGCCATAACAGCCGATGGTCGCTCTACGCTCGTATTAATCGACCTTGGCATCAGAATAAATATTATCCCGAAAATATTCTGGAGGGTGTATTACACACATTTTGGCCGCCGACCTTGGACATTCCAACAGGACTCAGAACCATCGCACTCAGCACGCGCCACCCATACCAATCCGTTAGACTATTGTGTCTGGAGTATTTTGGAAAGCAAGGTTGGCACAAAAAATACCAAAGTGTCGACCACCTCAAGCAAGTACTTCTCCGGGAATGAGCCAAAATTTTATTCAATAATATTTAAAAAACCAGTAAAGAAAGACTTAAAGTCGGGCGGGGCCGACTTTATGATACCCTACACCACTTTGCTAATTTAGTAGAGCTGCGCATAACAATTAAACATTTTTATGAGAGAATTCAATCATACACGCTATGATTATAATTATAATTTAAAGTTCAAAGGACTAAATATGCCGGAGCATTGGTATCTTTTACCTTCGGACTTGTATTGCCTATTTGGTGCACAATTAATTTGAAATCGGATAAAGATATATATGGGAGCTATATCCAAATCGGAACCGATCTCGATAAAATTTGGCAAATATATTTCTGAGCTGCATTTGATATATTTCCCTGCATATCGTTGTTACGGAGTGCATATTACAGCTGTGGGTAACAAATATGACAAATCGCATGAACAGTATATATAGGAGCTATAGCTATATCTGAACCGATCTTCACCAAATTTGACATACTAGCTTCTAGACTCAATTCAGTCGTTAGTGCCAAATTTCATATTAGACGTTTGGTGCACAATTAAAGGTAAATCGGACGAAGTTATATATGGGAGCTATATCCAAATCTGAACCGATCTCGATAAAATTTAGCAAATGTATTTCTGAGCTGTATTTGATATATTTCGCCAAATACAGAGTGCATATAACAGCTGCGGAGGACAAAAATAACAAATCTGATTAACAATATATATGGGAGCTATAGCTATATCGATCAAATTTGGCACACATATTTTCAGGCCTAATTTGGGTGTATATGCAAAATTCCATACAATTCGGGCTGATATTACAAGTTTGGTGCACAATAAAAGGCAAATCGGACGAAGATATATATGGGAGCAATATCTAAATTTTGACCGATTATCTCCAATTTCAATAGGGTTCGTCCTTGTACCAAACAAATGATTTGTGCAAAATTTCATCTGGATAGGGCAATAAATGCGAACTGTACTTTGTTTACAAAAATACATGGACAGACGGACAGACGGACGGGCGGACATGCATAAATCGACTCAGAATGTGATTCTATGCAGATCATCAAAAGGAACTATGGGTCTATCTCGTTTCCTTTTGCCTGTTACAAACAAATGCACAAAGACATAATACCCTGACCACCTTGTGGTGCAGGGTATAAAAAATGTAAAAATTATGGCGTCTGACTTTGTTGCAGTTTTTTTTATCTCACCCTGTTTATCACTTTCACAACAGATCTTGTGTTAGCAAAAATGTTTGTATGTGCGAAATTTGAAGAGAGTTGGATGCTTATTTCGCTTTCTTTGAGCGATTTGTTTTTCAAAATCTTGAGCCCTATGGTCCGATATATCCCATTTTCACAGCAGATCTTGTGTTTGTAGTAATAATGGGTATGTAAAATATGAAGAGAACCGGATGTATATTTCGAATTTATGATCGTTTTGGTTTTTTTTTTTGTTCGCGATTTATGAGCTCCATTTATATTCAAAATTTTGACACTTTGTGTGGTTTTGCCAATGCGTACTATAATTGCACGTAAATTACTCAATTTGGGTCACTGATGGTCTCTAGGATAGCGAGATGTTACTAAATTTGTTTCTTGGGCGAAGGGATAGAGTTGAAATTCTGAAATTTGATATTGAGGCAACTTTTGGTTTTAGCCGGAAAAACTTGGACACGGGTTTATACGAAGTATGAAGCTGTGGTTAAAAATGTTTGCCAAACTGAACAAATTGTGAACGAATCGTGAATTGAATACTGGAAAGGCATAAGCACGAACTGTTGGAACGAATTTAAAATTTTTTAAGGTGGACTTTTCGCTGACAAAGTAGCGGGCACTTGTCAGTCTTCTTATATAATTAATTGCCCGCCCGATATTGTTCAATCTTGGTTTGTGTCAATATTTATATGAAATTAAAGGTCAGAAGCGATCATTTTAACTCCATTCTCCAAAACGATTTCAATTGAAACAAGTAAAGAATCTGTAAGTTAGGCCGGGCCGAACTTTGAATACCCTCCACCATTTGGAACGAATTTGGCAATTCTCAAAAACAATAAAATCCGTTAAAAATTCTTTTAAAATCTTAAAAATACCGAATGTAGCTGTTAGATTACGGATAGATAACTTTTGTCATAAGTCACTACAGCATTCAAATGCGAAACTTGAAAAAAAAATCTGTTTATAATATAGCTCAAAACATCAAAATTCCGAATATAGGGAGCAACCATGGGAGTTGTAAAACCTGGACTAGCACAGACAATTTTTTGTCATAGGCTGTATCCAGTATCCATTACGAACTTCAAAAACCCAAAATTGAAATATTTCCGGTGAATAATGTCGCTAAAATCATCAAAAATACCGAATATCGGGAATCGCTAAATCGACATAGAATTTTATGCTGAACAAGTATAAGTATATATACTTTGTGGGTCTAAAATGTACATTTCGAGGTGTTACAAACCGAATGACAAACTTCCATACTATGGTGGGGGGGTATAAAAATAAACTTCGAATAGATCCCAATTAAAAAAAAAGGTGTTTGAAGACTATTATGTACTTACCCCTTAAAACTTTCTCCTCTTGGCATCGTAGAAAATCAAAAATACGCAGTGTACCATCATCACTACAGCTCACAAATTTACTATCCGTCGGACTGAAGCTGTAGAATTTGTTTGTTACATGTTCCGTACAACACAGGAAATCGCCGGCAGCAGACAAAAGTGCACAAAAACAACGATGTATCCACCAAATTTGTTTTATTTTTTTTTAATTTTTTCAACATTTTTAAAAGTTTGTGGTACAAGGTGCAAGCAACCGAGAGACAAGAACACGATGACATCGTTAAAGTTTTTTTTTTATTTTATTTGGTTGTATTGCGAGCGAGCGAGCGAGCGAATAACATGAACGTGGAGAAAGGAAATAAAATGTTTATTAAGAAGAGATATTTTAAGACAAAAAAAAAAAAAAATAATGGTTTAGGACAGTTTTATTTATCATTCAATACTTTCAATTGGTTATAATAAAAATGCCAAAGCCTTGCTGTTTTGTTTTTGAAAGAAAATTCTTTATTTACATTGGGAGAATCACATCAAGGGAAAGGGGAGACCTAAATTAAGATTTTTTTTATATTTAAAAAAAAATAATAATAAATGCCATAGTCGACCGAAGCCGACCATATGTTACACCACCACCACACTCAATAAGGATTTATCCTCTTTGCAGGGGATAACAGGTCTTCGGGTCAGTTCCCACGAAGGGAGAATGCTATTTAAAAAAATATATATATTTTATTGAAAATTCTCCCTAGAAATGCTAGAAGTTTGGGGAGCTCTATTCAAAAACTGAATGGATTATCATAAATTCATATATAAAGAGGGGCGACTTCATGTCAAAAAGGAAAAATTGGATAGATTTTGTTTCACTTTTTTAATGGGAAATCGGTAGGAAAATATCTAGATTTCTTAGAAGCTGGTAAAGCCGTAAAATGAAAATTAAATTTAATAATCTGTGTCTAAGTAATAAATCCAGCGATTTTTATAACTTCGTACCTTTGTCAAGTTCCAAAAGTTGTGAAGTTAAATAGGAAGTTTGTATTTGGAAAAAAAAAAGCACTTTAAAGTCATTTTTATTTATTTTTTTTTAATGAAGTGTTTCATGATAAATCCATAGCCCCGGGTTTGGACGCATAATTACTTATGCCACCCAAGCAAAAAAAAAAAAAAAACAAAATTAAAAATTAACTAAAATAATAATACGTCCACATGCGCCGAACCCTCCTCCTCTGCCTTCTCTTTGAATGGAGTGTAGCAAGAGATTGAAATATATATTTCTTTTTGTTTTCGAAATAGTTAAGCTCCCTCAGGTGGTTGTGTTTGTGTGTGTGTATGCGGATAGCTGGCTAAGAAGAATACTGTGTGGGAAAGGCAAATGTTTAAATGCTTCTTTTATTTCATTTTCAAGTCACTGATAGAAAAAAAAAAGGAATGGACAAACAGGCAAACCAACCGTATTTCAATTCAAACAAATCAAAAACGTTTAGTTTTGAAGTTTTTTTTTTTCAAAGAAAATCTTTTAATTTTTATTGTTATTATTAAATTTGTTAAATATTATAATGTGTTGTTGTTTTTTTTTTGTGAATAGTTATGAATATAAAAACAGTCTTTGGCTTTTTATTTGATTGATCAAAGTTTTGAGAAAAAAAAATATCACAGTTTTATTTTTGTACAGACTAAAAAAAACGAGCATAACAACTGGTAATTGGAGGCGTTTCAGAGGCTTTGCCTTTTTTCAATTGGAAAACTTTATTTATTTCAAGCAAGACCAAAACGCGCTCAACCAATACCAGAGACCTACCTAACCTATAATTTGTGTTTTTTTTTTTTCAGTTCTTTTATTTCAACTTTTCTTTATTTGTAAAAACCTACTACACAAGATCCCTAAGCGTTGCTTTTATTTTTATTGTTCTTGTTGTTGGTTTGGTAAACACATTTAAGAGAATGCAATAAAATAATGAATAGAGAAAAATAATTAATGATTTTAAGCTATACCTTATTCCCCTAATTGCTTCCTTGTGGGCCTGGAACATTTTCACATTGTTCATATTTGATTGCCAGTATTTGACATAGCCTGCATGATCACCGGTCACCATCCAGCTGTCGTTGTGAGACCATACCATTGTTCGCACCGATGTGTCGTGGGCCTAGGATGGTGGAAAAGTATGAATAAGTCATGTTCAGATGTGTTAGATTATATTCAAAATAAATAGGTTCAGGGTTGCGGAGTCAAAAAAAGTTATATATCTTTAAACCCATATGACAAGAACATTTCCCAGTAACCAATAGCTTCAACGACTTAAAGATATTATCTCAAAATAGTATTTAGGATTTGAAACAATTTTTTTTCTGTGCGAAAATATATCGAAAATCTTACTTCTGTTGGAAAAATATGTTAAAATATAAATATGGTTTAAAAATTTGGCTATTTTCGCAGTGAGTGGGGTGGTTTTGGCAGTACAATTAAAGAGATGGAGCATATTTTGCGGGCCTGACCACAAACTGGGCATACATCTCGCATATCTTCATCAATTCATGGCCAAAACGAATTAAGACGACTGCACCCCATCCTGGACGTAATTGTGCCAATACTACCCTTGTATTTCTAGACAGATGACCTTCTTCAGCTGCAATGGAAGAGGAGTGGACTCCTAGGACGGCATTGAAACTGTAATTTTGTATGGCATCTATGACTGATTATAATAATTGGATATCGACGATACATGGGTTGCGATCGCAGCAACACTCGTCGACGGCACTGGGTTATTTAGATCCCGTAACGGATGTTTTTTTTTTTCCTTTAACCCCATTTTGACATTGGTCTGTTCTTTTGGGGGAAAAACACAATAATCCGTTTTTACTAATGGTTATTATGGCATAGACGAAGCTGATCTAGCATCTTAGCCACCCCTCAAATTTCGTCACTCCAAGATGCGCTTCTTAGAAGTACGACAACTTACGCAGTGTGTGGAGTCATTCGTCTCATCAGTAAGGAGATCTTTGGATGGATAATTTAAATCAGAACCCTCCCACCAGTCAGCAAGTCTGATCTGCCACAGCTTATTTAGTTTGCAGCTACCCAATATACCTATTGTATTGTTCCGCTACAGTCCATCAGCAATCACCTGTGTTAGACGAAGTCGCATCGCTTTTTGTCGTATGCGATGATATTTTAATTATTAGCATCCAAAATGTTTCCACTGGATTACTAGCCCACCGTTGTAGCAGAGTTTTTCTTGTTGGGTTGGTTCTGCTAATCAGGTTTTAAAATTGAAATATTTCCGGTAGATCTTTTCTGTAATGAGTTCAATGTCCAGTATGAATTGAGAAGGCTGCACCATCCTGCCTGAACATAGTTAAGGCAAAACTATACCATTTTTCTAGGCAATCGGTTAGCTTCAGTTGCGATGGATAAAGAGGTGGAGTTCAAGGACGTCATTAATTTTGTATTAATTAATATTATTGTATTGACTTTGTGACTTTAGTGGCTTTGATTAATGTGAATACTCTCGGACCTATCGGATAAGCTTATTAATTTCGGGGCTTCTTCGTATAATTTTGGACTTCCCTCACTCTTTATATCGGGTAGCCTAAATGGGTAAGTTCATTCTACCCACCATATGATGCATTGAATGTTGCAACGAAAACATATTGTTGCGCTGATAAGCGACACAAATCTTTACAGACCACACCGTGTCACTTAGCTAACAGTAGACCTACTTTTCGTGTTATAAAAGGTGAGAAAGGCCACATAGCAGAGACTTGCCTGGGCCATATTAATATGGTGTTGATTGTGATTTCTGGCGATCGATAATCCAAAATTTGAAACATTGAAGTGTACAGAATAAAATGTTTTTACAAGTCAACAGCTATCAACAACATTCAGTGGCTCAGCCATTTCTTGTTGAGTCCTCAACTAATGTGTGAGAGTATCGCGAACCTAATTTAATGTCCAGAACATTGATAGCTATTTTTGTTTTTGGGGGTGAGTCCTCGCTTCTAAGCCCGTATTATTCGAATGTACTTTTGTCCCTCCTGGCTTCAGTAAGCTATGTGAGTGGTTAGCGACAGATTGGGGCCTTTGGTAATGAACTCATTCACATTACCAATGAAGTGATGTCCGAGCCTAACACTTGTACCACCAATGTGGTGATATCTACCAGGCGACCAGATTTCTGATGCGACGTTAAAATAATTGGCGCACCTCATGGGGTCAGTCGTCGTTACTCCGTCAAACTAGACAGATGTCATATCATTTCCTGTCTCAGGGTTCTAGAGAGGTCCAACAATTTGCTCATATCGGCACTAATGTTGCAAAACTTTAGATGGTCTAGCTACCTTTTCTATTTATGCTCCTTGATCAACTCTGACTTTTTAAAAATATTTTTTCTGATAGAAAACCATCTAGAGTTCTTTTTTAAAAAAAAGGCTTTATATAGATAACATACGTTGTAGGGCCTTTGAAAGATAGAAAAGACCTATACAATTTTCTACAACTCTCCTTTAGTAAAAATTCTCTGATTTTTTTGAATTGTTTCCAGAGGTAGTTATTTGCTCTCTGATTCCGGGTAATCCAAATTATAGCTTATATTCTAACCTTTCCAAAAAGCTTCGCCAAACCTACAAAGTTTCGAAAATTCGCTTAGCTTGGTATCACTTCGTGTATTTGATGGGATTGACATCTCGAAAAATCCATCAACTTAAGAAGATTAGAACGGTTCTATCGGTTGATTGAAGAATCCTGTAAATCCAGCCCAATTAGCTTTCCCGAGGATAAGGAAAATTCGGTGCTCAGAGGCTAGAAAACAGCATACTTATGATGCATTCTCTGGCGAAACATCCTCTTTTCTCAGAACGTAGTGGTAGCTGAGAATTAAATGCATTCTGGGGCAAAAGAAAACGTCGTTTTTTGAAATTTGAATTAAAATCAGCTTTCAACTAAAAGCTATGAGTCATTTTCCACTCTGCCATAAAACAACATAGCAATAAAGTTAGCAACCCATCATCTGAGGAAAAGATTTTCGATTCCATGACATATATCACTTCTCCTCCCAATTAGAAACCATCAAATCTATGTTATTACAAATTGACCACATGTGTCAGCTTCTAAGCAATATCAACTCCACAACCCCGTATATTGCACCCATCTCTTTCCAACTTACTTGTAAAATAGTCTCAAAATTAAATGTTAAACCATTCCATAGGGTAAATTCACCCGAACTGGCACCGGTAACTAAACGGCGACCTTCTGGTGTCCATGCCAATGTAAATATGGGACATCTCATTTTATTTGTGGCAGTCTTGACAAATCTTGTGGTTACAGCATTGGAGGGATTATCCAGATAACTGGAAGGTGGTAGTAATTCCGGTACGTATATACTTTCCGGTTGCAATGCAAAGCGATCTCTATGGTCTCGCTGCCAGAGGCGTGCCTAGTGAGAGGAAATGGAAAAATTTATTACGTTAATATTTTAAATATTTTCAAAAAACTAATGGTCTGTTTTACAATGGAGGAAATTACTCAAAGCAAGGTTCCTAAAAAAGCAAAACAAATAAACACTTTTGCTTAGATCAATTTTAAATCCTTTTATCTGCAACCATAAGATAATTGTAACACTTTCCGAGATGTGGACCTTGATAGCAAAAAATCTAGAATTTATCTTTCCGAGAAATCGTTATTTAAAAATTTATACACTTTTAGCTCTAATCGTTCTTGTAAAAAATATTTTTCACAATCTAACAGTGTATTATTAAATATTCTACTTTGCATTCTCGGTCCTGGATCTTGAAAACCTTCAAGGCAAGTTTACGGCCCTCTGCGAATCAGTTTCCCACAGTTTCATACATTTTTAATAGCTTTTAGAAACGACTACGAAATTATAGGTATAAATGAGAACCCCTTGATTTCCAGATAAGGCGATGCAACTTACTTTCAAAAATGGCCTTATAATCCCAAGACTCCAAGTCTTTTTTAAAGAGTTTGTCCATAGGTATCATTCTTGGATTTCTGGCCAAATATCTGAAGGAATTCACTCACTTCACTTGTTACATATAATCAAATTATGTGGAGCTAGACCGCTTTTAAAAATCCCCCCTTTTAACACAGAAAGTAATTTATTTCGTCTCATAACAACAGTTCTTAGAATCCTAATAATCCTGCAGGTCCCTATGATCCTGATCACATATCATTATTTTTTTCCTCTGTAAAAGATCTACTTTTCCAAAATGTAATTCTCCTCAATTTAAAATGTTTTTTCTTAATTCCGATTAAGTATCGATTCTACCCTTCTTCCATCGTCGTTAAACAGACCATAAATCACACAACAAACTTACATCCAATTTCTTGACAATGGAGGCATTGTAATCAACAGTCTTACGCATAACACTTTTACGCAAACGTTTGCCATCGAAATCGTCTTGGGTCATTTGATGTGGCCGCTGAAAGCCACCGCCTCCAAACGATTTAAAATAGGGTTTATTGGGATTACCATGATGTCCGTGATGATAGTGAGGTCGATAGTGGCCATGTGAACCTGGCATGGGAGGTGGTACACTGATGTTGGTGGCTAAATGTGAGGGCGCCGTCAACTGAGGCGGGGGCTGGGAGACATCCATCATTTTGGAGCCTGTGGAACATAAATACTTTAAAAAATATATTCAAATCATATTCACACGAATTTATTACCTTTTTATATGTCCGATTCCCACAAATTACAACTTTTTTCCGTTTTGTTTAAACAAAAATTAACGTGTTTGGTATATTGACTGCACGCAGCTGACAATGATTTCGTGTGGAGAAATTTTCTTCGTTGCGACCTTTTGACTTCTCGCCTCTTTCACGTTGACAAAGAGAGAATTTCCACACTGTTTTGTATCACCAACATGTGGCAAAGTTTGCTGGGTACATTTTCCTCAATTTTTTAATAACTTTTCTTTATTTTTTTGCCTGCAGAGTAAAATAATATCTTCCCAATTTTCTTGAAATATGTCTGTGCCAAAAAAAAAGTCTGCTAATAATGCTCGTCAGTGTTGTGAGCTGGGAGAGTGTGCAATACGGAGTAATCGATTACTCACAGCCATCTGTCAGGGTTGTATGCATTTAGTAGTTAGATGTGATGAATATGAAAAAGACATACGATAAATCGTACAACAATGGTAAATGCAATGAAATACCTGTGGTACAGAAGCCTACAATGAGTGGAATTTAGTAGGCTTGGTGATATTTGGTAGAAATCCAATAAAAGTCATTCAATCGGTGAGATCGGACAATTTGTTTGCTCAAACGCGATTGATTTGAGTCTTTCGAAAAATAAAAACAAAATATTTTCAAAAAATTTTTGGGAAGTACTTAAAAGCTAACAATTTTCGTGAGCTGAATATATCGCAATATCCCATTCGGCAAATATTGAAAATTGAGCTCGGGATAAAGCCATTGAAATTCCAAAAAGTGCAAGAACTTACACCTCAGAACAGAAAGAATAGAAAATAGACTCAAAAGAGCTAAAGAGTTGGTTTGCTTGTCCGAAAGTGGTGAACTGTCGAATTTGGTTTTCTCCGATAAGGGAGAAAACATTCGTTGTCCAGCAGTTTGTAAACAAACAAAATGATCGTGTTTACTTACCAGAGAGGTCACCTTAAAATGTGCAACTTCGGTTGGCGACCAGCGCCTGGTGTGGGCCGCCATAACAGCCGGTGGTCGCTCTCCGCTCGTATTTATCGACCGTGTCATCAGAATAAATGCCGAATACTATCGCGAAAGTATTCTGGAGGGTGTATTAAAGCCTTGGGCATGCAAACATTTTGATCGCAAACCTTGGACATTCCATCAGTACTCAGCACTATCGCACTCAGCTCGCGCCGCCCAAGAATGGTTACAAAATCTGGTTTTTCGCTTCATTTCTTCTTCAGCGCACAATGGCCACCAAAATCTCCGGATACCAATCCGTTGGACTTTTGTGTCTGGAGTATTTTGGAAAGCAAGTTTGGCACTAAAAAATACCAAAGTGTCGATCACCTCAAGCAAGCGCTTCGCCGGGAATGGGCCAAAATATCGCGGAGCAACATTCGGGCAGCGTGTGAGGGTTTCATTGACCGTTTAAAGGCCATAATTCGTGCCAAAGATGACCAATTCGAATAAATCTAAGCTTATTCTAAAATTTCATGCTATTTCCGACATTTGAATAAAAGGCTTAACTCTAGTTTAGTAAAAACTCTTCAATTTTTTCGAAATTTTTTCCAGTGGTAGGTATGTCCCGGGAAACTATTTTTTTCTTGGGGGACGGACCTGGGACCCCAGAATTTTGACCCGAAAGTCTGGGTTCAAGACCCCGACTATACCCGGATCCAATTATCCGATATTGAAAACATAGTTTTAATCAACTGGTTAGAATCGGGTTATGCGGATGGAAAGACCCATATCTCCTGACTCAGTAAAGGTACTGGCACAAATTGTAGCATTTTGGAAAGGTAAGAGTGTCAGCTATAATTTGGAAACAATTTTGTTGACCCCCATAATGGGCCTTTTTTGACTTTTTGGGGGTTTCATAAAAAATCCGGGTCCAAAAAATCCCCCGTCCCCCAAGAAAAAAAATAGTTTCCCGGGATCAGGGTAAAAATACCTACCTCTGGAGAAAATTTCGAAAAAATCGAAGAGTTTTTACTAAACTAAAGTTGTTCCGAATAAAATTTAAAAAAATGTAAAAATTATCGCGTTTGGCTTTGTTGCGGTTTTTATACCCTACACCACAAGGTGGTCAGGGTATTATGTCTTTGTGCATTTGTTTGTAACAGGCAAAAGGAAACGAGATAGACCCATAGTTCCTTTTGATGATCTGCATAGAATCACTTTCTGAGTTGATTTATGCATGTCAGTCCGTCTGTCCGTCCGTCCGTCCGTCTGTCCATGTATTCTTGTGAACAAAATGCAGGTCGCTTTTATTATCCGATTGAGATGAAATTTTGCAAACAACATTTGTTTGGCCCAAGGACGAACCCTATTGAAATTGGAGATAATCGGTAAAAATTTAGATATAGCTCCCATATATATCTTCGTCCGATTTGCCTTTTATTGTGCACCAAACGTGTAATATCAGCCCGAATAGTATGGAATTTTGAACATACAACCAAATTAGGCCTGAAAATAAGTATGCCACATTTTATCGAAATCGGTTCAGATATAGCTATAGCTCCCATATGTATTGTTCATCCGATTTGTTATTTTTGTCCTCCGCAGCCGTAATATGCACTCTGTAACAACAATATTTGGGGAAATATATCCAATTCAGCTCAAAAATATCTTTGCTAAATTTTATCGAGATCGGTTCAGATTTGGATATAGCTCCCATATATAACTTCGTCCGATTTACCATTTATTGTGCACCAAACGTCTAATATTTGTTCAAATGAGATGGAATTTGGCACATACGACCGAATTTAGTCTAGAAGGTAGTATGCCAAATTTGGTGAAGATCGGTTCAGATATAGCTATAGCTCCCATATATATTGTTCATCCGATTTATTGTATTTGTTACCCACAGCCGTAATATGCACTCCGTAACAACGATATTCAGGGAAATATATCAAATACAGCTCAGAAATATCTTTGCCAAATTTTATCGAGATCGGTTCAGATTAATTTCGCAAAATGGGCAATATTTAGTCCTTTGAATTTTAAATTATAATTATAATCATAGCGTGTATGATTGAATTCTCCCATAAAAACTTTTAATTATTAAGTGGAGCTCAACTAAATTAGCAAAGTGGTGTAGGGTATCATAAAATCGGCCCCGCCCGACTTTAGGACTTTCTTTACTGGTTTTTATCTCAGAAATCTTTATTATTTGTTATCTGTCATAAAAAAAATATTTCTTTGCCGAACTAGTTCAACTATTCCTTTCGGTGAACCGTTTAACATAAAAAAAATATTTCTTTACCGAACTAGTTCAACTATTCCTTTCGGTGAACCGTTTAACTGAAATCGTGCAGTTTTGAGCCTTCTAACGGTACGAATACTAAAACGCTTTTTTGAATGGCTTGTCATCGGCTGTTTTAGGTTTGATCGTAAAAGATCAAAGCAGCCAAAAGGATTAACAAGTATAAATTATGGTCCGAAATTGAACTAAGTCAACCTAAAACTGCTTTGCTCTTCTACAAAGGAGCCAACTGATTACTTCAGCCAGTCAAAAAAAAAAAAAACGTTTTATGTATTCTCACCTTTAGGGATAACAAAGGAAACAATGCATGACCTTAAACCCAGGGTCATTCTAATTTCCATGTATCATTTTTTTAAATAAATTTTTAATAAAATTAAAATTGAGACAAAATAAATAAATTAGCCAAATAACAGCAAAAATAAACAAATATCCATTGTTTTCATTTCAATTGAATAGTAATGTGTAAACGACATTCGATAAATCATTTCATACGAACTTTTTTTGTTCTTCTTCATTTTTGCTTTTGTTCGCCTTACAGTAGCCCAATACCGTTTGTCAGCCAACCAGTCAGCCAGCAGATCGTGAAAACAAATGGCCCACCAAACGTGGTTAGAATATTCAATTTGAATCAAAACAAAACATATAACGAAGAACCGAAAGCATTTATTTGTCAATTTCAAGATTCCGAACAACAACAACAACGGCAACATCAACAACAAAACAAGGAAATTTTTACTCCAAAAACACTTTACGATGATGAAAGTCAATGACATTGAATATTGAAAACAATTAACTTTTCGTGGAGGTAATTTGCGAAGATAAATCAAAAGAAGGGGGGAGAAAAGGATATAAAATATGTAAAAAAATGCAAATTGAATGGGGTGGGTGGAAGGATTGGGTAATAATAATCATTGGTCATTTTGGACAACTACTTTGCAATTAGTTTAACTCGATTTTCGGTCATTTTCCCCAAATTGCCTTTATTTTGGAATCAGGGATATATTTTGAATGTGTTTCCCAAGTTTGAATAATTTTCCCAAGTTTTCCAACCTTCCGCCCCAAAAATTGTGAAGAAATCAAATACCTTTCCCATGAAGCTATTCTCATTACCGTTCGGTCTTCGCCGGCCGATGTTTTGAAATGTTTTAACTCAAAACCAATGTTGTCTTTTCGAACATTCATATTTTCATTTTTGTAGAAATCATTGACATTTTCCTTTTGGAATATTGCCTTTTCACTTAAAGGGTGATGAAATCCGACTTATATAAGTAAGTCAAAATACCCTCCACATAACAACAACAGCAGCAACAACAACAAATGATGATGACCCGATGTTTACACTTTCAATTCCGTACCGTAATTAGAGTGTAATGAACCAGAGCCAAGCACCTGAGTGAGTTTTGGTTCAATGCTTCAAGTCTTGAAGTCGGAATTAAGTCGTGAATTTGGAAAAGGAATTTGTTGTAAAGGAATTTGAAATTTGATTTTTTCGCCTGTCTTCAAGCGGTTAGTCCTTAAAAAAAATATTTTTTAAAAAAATCCTTGAATTTCTTTAATAAATTCACCTAATTTTTCAATTAAAAATATGTGAAAAATATTTAAAAAATACGAGTTTTGATCCTTGAAAAATATTTTTTAAAAAATCCACGTTCTTAGTCCCTGAAAACAATTTGAAAAATATTTTTTAAAAAATCCATATTCTTAGTCCTTGAAAAAAAATTGAAAAATATTTTTAAAAAAATCCACGTTTTTCGTTCCTGAAAAAAATTTGAAAAATATCTTAAAAAATCGGAGTTTTGGTCCTTGAAAAATATTTTTTAAAAGATCCACGTCCTTCGTCCTTGAAAAAAATTTGAAAAATATCTTAAAAAATCCGAGTTTTGGTCCTTGAAAATTCTTTTTTTTTAATCCACGTCCTTCGTTCTTAAAAAAAATTTGGAAAATATTTTAACAAATCCGAGTTTTGGTCCTTGAAATTTTTTTTAAAAATCCACTTCCCAACTCCTTGAATTTTTTTTAAATCGGTAAATATTGAAAAAAGATCTCGGGAAAAAGCCATTGACATTCCAAAAAATGCAAGAACTTACACCGCAACAGAAAGAACAGAAAATAGACTCAAAAGAGCTAAAGAGTTGCTTGGCTAGACCGAAATTGGTGAACTGCCGAATTTGGTTTTCTCCGATGAGTTTACTTGCCAAAGAGATCAGCTAAAAATGCGCACCTTCGGTTGGTCACCAGAACTCAAGCGCCGGCCATGGTAGTATTCATCGACCTTGGCATCAGAATAAATGCCGAATATTATCGCGAAAATATTCTGGAGGGTGTATTAAAGCCCTGCGCACGCAAACATTTTGGCCGCAGACCTTGGACATTCCAACAGGACACAGAAGTGTTGATCACCTCAAGCAAGCGCTTCGCCGGGAATGGGCCAAAATAGCGCAGAGCAACATTTGGGCAGCGTGTGACGGTTTCATTGGCCGTCTGAAGGCCATAATTCGTGCCAAAGGTGACCAACTCGAGAAAATCTAAGTTCCTGGAAAAAATATTCTTTAAAAATCCACGTCGGTTAATCCTTAAAAAATCCAAATCATTGGTCCTTGAAAAATATTTTTTAATTATTATTTTGGTCGTTGAAAAATAATTTTTTAAGAAAACATCCATGTTCTTTGAAAATATTTTTTAAAAAATCCAGGTAGTTGGTCCTTGAATAATCTTTGTTAATTATTATTTTGGTCGTTGAAATATATATTTTAAATGTTCCTTTGGTCCTTGAAAAAATATTTTTTTTTAAAAAAATCCACGTTGTTAGTCCATGAAAAGTATTTTTTAAATAATAATTTGGTCCTTGAAAAAGTATTTTTTACAAAATCCACTTTCTTAGTCCTCGAAAAATATTTTTTAAATAATAGAAGTGTTGGCTTTGTTTATTCGGTTTATTTTTAAATAATAATTTGGTCCTTGAAAAAACATTTTTTTTAAAAAATCCAGGTCTCTGGTCCTTGAAAAATATTTTTTAATCATTATTTTAAATATTATTATCCTTTGAAAATATTTTTTAAAAAATACATGTCCTTGGCTCTTGAAAAATATTTTTTAAATATTATTATCCTTTGAAAACATTTTTTAAAATATCTACGTCCTTAAAAAATATATATTTTTTTGAATCCACGTCCTTGGCCATTAAAAAATATTTTTTTTTAAAAAATCCAAGTCATTTGCCCTTGAAAAACATTTTTTAAAAGAATCCACGTTATTGGTCCTTGAAAAAATAATCCTTAAAAAATCTTAGTTTTTTTAGTCCTTAAAATATGCTCTAAAAATAATGCATGTCTGTTGGTCCTTAAAAGTATTTCTTAAAAAATCCATGGCTGTTGGTTCTTGAAAAAATATTCTTTAAAAAATCCATGTCTGTTTCTCATATTTTTTTAAAAAAATCCATGAGTGTTGGAAAAATCAACGTTTGATGGCCCTTGAAAAAATACTCCTTAAAAAATGTACGTCTTTTGATTCTTGACAAAATATTCTCTAAAAAATCCAGGTTTTTTGTCCCTAAAAATATATTCTAAAAATAAACCACGTTTTTTGATGCTTTAAATATGTCTCGTGGTCCTTAAAAAATATATTCTTCAAAAATCTTCCATCATAACGTTGAATATTCACATATTACTCTTGTTTACCATTTAAATTTACATATGGCAACGCCTTTCTATGCATTTTAGCTACTATTTCCGGTTAAAAGTGTTGCCAGTACTGAATAGCCATGTCGCTGACTTCTTCTCTCACATATCCTCTGCCACTACTCTGTTAACATGGCAGTAGCAGAGATAGAACTTATGCTCTGCCTAAGACCAGTAATGGGAAAGAGAAGAGTAGGTGAGTATGGAGCTTATTGTTCTCTGAGCAAACATAACATTGCAACAAACTAGAAATGCAATTTTCTTCTTCTTCCGTTAACGGACAATAGAAATTGCAAAAAATTCACATTGTACACACACACATATCCTACCCATCCTCCCATTCATATACCGTAATGTTTTACTGTCGTCGCCCTCATCGTCATCGTGTGTGTGTGTGCTTTGACTTCGTGTGACTGGCTGCTTTTTTGATTGTTGCTTGGCCTCTTGGTTTGTTGGCTTTACGTGTGCTTTCATGTTAACAGCGTTGACAGCAACGCCAACGTCTACTTCCCCGTTGGCGGCGCAGTCAGTGTTAGTTGTGTTGTTGGCCCGAATTCATCGATTCGCAGATATAAAAATAATGTTTCGTTAACATTTATACTTCAGTTGATCGCCAGTAGTGCACGGATGAACGCAACAACGCATGCCAAGCCAAGTGAAAAACAGTCAGACAGACCAAAGTGTTAAGTGAGAGAACCGTTATAACTACAAGTATAACAATAACAACAAGAGCTTAACTTCAGCATTGCGTGTGCGGGTGTGTTTTCAATTGAACAAACCTAACGGTAGAGATTATTTCTATTTTGGAATTTAAAAAAAAAGAGAAAAACAAATCAAATGTTAATAAAACAGTGACTATAAATTGAAGTGTTAATTGATTTAGAAAATTTAAAAAATTTTTAATATTTTTTTGTCTCAAGTTTTTTTTTATAATAAATTGCATTTTTCTTTATTTTATTTCGTTCAAAGAAATCTAAGTTCAAAAGTTTGTTTTTTAAAACACGAAGTGGACGACGGCGTCAACTGAAACCAGTAATTGAACTGAATTTTCTTCAAAAATTGCAAATATGCAGACAGTAATCAAGTAAGTTTTGAAACAAATATATGTTGAATTGAAATAAGTTTTGAAAATGAAAAAGCTATTCAAATTTTGTAGTGAGAAATGGGGGAAATTGTTGACGGATAAAAAAAATGGAATGTTGATGATTGAAACTTTTTTAGAGGATATCTTGTGAAAGTGGACTAGTTTAAAAATTATTTTGACGATTACATATAATTTTGGATTTTTTTCAAAAATTTTTTGGAAGTCTCACAAAAAAAAATCCATTTTGACGTTCTAAAAATATGTTCTCATTATATTCCACAAAATGTGGATTTTTTAAAATTATTTTTTCCATATCCTCCACAAACGTGGATTTTTTAAAAAATATGTTTTAATATTCACCACAAAAGTGGATTTTTTAATATATTCTTTAATATTCAAAGTTAATTTTTTTGAAAATTTGGAATTTTTGTCCACGTTTTGGTATAGCCCCCACATAATGGTACCTCCAGATATTCGGTATTATGGTGATTTAAGCGACATTATTTACCGAAATTGTTTCAAATTTGGTGATTTGAAGTTCGTAATGAATACTACAGCCTAAGACAAAAATTTGTCTGTGCAGGTCCACATTTTAGTATAGCCCCCATATAATTGAACCTCCCTATATTGATACATTATTGACCGATTTTTTATTTTCAAGTTTCGCATTTGAATATTGTAATGGCTTATGACAAAACTTGCCTATGCAGGTCCACATCGTCATTTTGACCCTAATATGACGCATACATTGATTTTAACAAAATTTTCAGAATATTTTTGAAAATTGCCAAATTCGTTCCAAATGGTGGAGGGTATTCAAATATCGACCCGGTCGAACTTACAGTTTTTTCACTTATTTTTTATGTTTTTTTTTAAATATTCCATGGATTAGGATTTAAAAAAAAAAATATACTTTTTAAATATTCTACAAACGTGGATTTTTTTTAAATATTTTTCAAATATTCCACAAACGCGAAGTTTTTAAAAATATCTTTTTTAAATATTCCACAAAAGTGATTTTGTTTAAAAATATTTTTTAAATATTCCACAAAAGTGATTTTTTTAAAATATTTTTTGAATATTCCACGAAGGAGAATTTTTTAAAAATATTATTTTCAGAATATACACAAGCCTGATGTTTTTTTAAATATTTTTTCAAAATTATCCACAATAGGGTTTTTTTTTAAATATTTCACAAACGTGGATTTTTAAAAACGTTTTTTTTAATTCTCAACAAATTTGGATTTTTTTAAATATTTTTTAAATATTCCAAAAACGCGAATTTTTTAAAAATATTTTTTTCAGAATATTCTACAAACGTGGATTTTTTTTAAATATTATTTCAAAATTGTCCACAATATTGTTTTTTTTCAAACATTTTTTTTAAATATTCCACAAACGTGGATTTTTTTAAAAATATTTTTTTAAATCTCCACAAATGTGGATTTTTTTTTTCAAAATTATCCACAAGCGTGGATTTTTTAAAAATATTTTTTTTAATGCTCAACAAAAGTGGATTTTTTTTCAAACATTTTTTTAAAATATTCCACAAACGCGAATTTTTTAAAAATATTTTTTTAATTCTCCACAAATGTGGATTTTTTTTAAATATTTTTTAAATATTCCACAAAAGCGAATTTTTTAAAAATATTTTTTCAGAATATTCCACATACGTGGATTTTTAAATATATTTTTTTTAATTCTCAACAAATGTAGATTTTTTTTTAAATATGTTTTAAATATTCCACAAACGCGAATTTTTTAAAAATATTTTTTCAGAATATTCCACATACGTGGAGTTTTTAAAAATATTTTTTTTAAATATTCCACAAAAGTGATTTTTTTAAATATTCCACAAACACAAATTTTTTAAAAATATTTTTTTCAGAATATTCCATAAACCTGGATCTTTTTTAAATTTTTTTTTTTTCAAAATTGTCCACAATAGTGTTTTTTTCAAATATTTCTTAAATATTCCACAAACATGGATTTTTTAAAAATATTTTTTTTAATTTTCCACAAATGTGGATTTTTTTTAAATATTCCACAGAAGCGGATTTTTTAAAAATATATTTTTTTTTAATTCTCCACAAATGTGGATTTTTTTAAAAATATTTTTTTATTTCTCCACAAATGTGAATTTTTTAAATATTTCTTTTTATGGTCCTCCACAATTGTGGATTTTTTAAAAACATTTTTTCAATATCCTCCACAATCCTGTAGTTTTTAAAATATTCCACAAACGTGGATTTTTTAAAAATATATATTTTTAAATATTTTACAAATGTGTATTTTTTAAAGAAAACTTTTTTTAAAATATTCCACAAATGTGGATTTTTTAAAGAAATCTTTTTTTTTTTAATATTACACAAATGTGAATTTTTTTAAAAATATTTTGGATTTTTTATGAATGGATTTTCTATGGTTTTTTCGATGAAAGTTGGACCCGAAAACTGCCTGTAATTTTTCTTTGTTTAGACATACGTCACAAAAATTTTCAAATTAATATTCCGCTCATAAATTAACATATTTTACTTCATTCCAATTTTGTACTTTTATTTAATTTCTTGTTTTTTTTTTTTTTCAATATACTAATTTATGACATAAAGGTTTTTAAACCTTTTACAGAATTAATTTTTTTTCAAACCTAAAACCAGTTGTTTTTTTTCAACAGCGTTTTGTTTTGTTCATTACTTTTGCTGAATTTCTTCGTGTGTGCAAATATGACCCTAATTTTTGGAGGTCGAATTTTGCGAAGAAACAAAAAAAAAAAATCAAAAAAATAAACTTGATTTTAGCACTCAAGATTTACAAACAAAAGAAGAAATATTTGTAATGTTGTGATTTTTTTATTACTTTTGGGGGGCCTGTTTTTGGTAGATAACCGGGTTCGAAGAAGTGTAACTCAATATATAAATGTTAATATCCAGATATGTAGCTGCATTGTTATTTGGCAGTAATTTAAATTTTTTACAAAAAAAAACAACAAATATTAATTCTCAAAAAATTATTATTTAAATAATTTAAATAATGGAAACAAAAAATCATCTGAAATTATTGTAGTTTGTATCGAAATTGTCAGGCTTGTACTAAATTGTTTTTCGCAATGACATTGCAATTTTTTATGACAGATAATGATCTAAATTTTCCAGTTAATTTAAACAGAGATTGACAACAAGTTGGTAAACATTAGTTGTATTTGCTGGTATTAGTTTGACTGGAATTAAGGCTCGATCAACGACTAATTGTTGTAAGCAATTGTTTTACAAAAAAAAAAAAAAAAACAAAAAATAAATAAATAAATAAATTAATAAAATAAAAAAAAAACAAAAATCAAGTAAAAATCTGTAAGTTTGGCCGGGCGGATCTTTGAATACCCTCCGCCATTTGGAACGAATTTGGCAATTTTCAACAAAACAAAAAAAAAAAAACGTTAAAAATGCTGTTAAAATCTTAAAATACCGAATGTAGCTGTTATGGACCTGCACAGACAATTTTCTGTCATAGGCTGTAGTATCCATTACGAATCTCAAATACCAAATTTGAAACAATTCCGGTGAACAATGTCGCTAAAATCATCAAAATACCGAATATCGTGAGGTACCATTATACGAAGCCGCGGACCTGCACAAACAATTTTCTACCTTAGGCTGAAGCATCCATTACCAACATCAAATACCAAAATTTGCAGCAATTCCGGAGAATAATGTCGCTAAAATCATCAAAATACCAAATTTCGGGAGGTACCGTTATATGGGGGTTATACGAAGACGTTGACCTGTACAGACAATTTTCTGTCATAGGCTGTAGTATCCATTACGAACTTCAAATACCAAATTTGAAGGAATTCCGGTGAATAATGTCGGTAAAATCATCAAAATACCAAAATATAGAGGTATCGTTATATGGGGGCAATACCAAAACGTGGTCCTACATGGCCTACATTTTCAATACCAAAAGTCCTGCAGATATAATATACACATTTGAGTAAAATTTTATCAACCTACTTCATTTCGTTCGGAAGCTAGAGTGATTTCGGACAGACGGACGGACATCGCTAAACGACACAGATTTTTTTGCTGATCATGAATACAGGGTGAGATTAAAAAAACTGCAAAAAAGTCAAACGACATAATTTTTACATTTTTTTTTAAATTTTATTCAATGAAAACAACAAACGTCGGAAATAGCATCAAATTTTAGAATAAGTTTAGATTATCTCGAATTGGTCACCTTTGGCACGAATTATGACCTTCAAACGGCCAATGAAACCGTCACACGCTGCCCGAATGTTGCTCTGCGGTATTTTTCCCCATTCCCGGCGAAGCTCTTGCTTGAGGTGATCGACACTTTGGTATATTTTAGTGCCAACCTTGCTTTCCAAAATACTCCAGACACAATAGTCCAACGGATTGGTATCCGGAGATTTTGGTGGCCATTGTGCGATGGAAATGAAGCGAGGAACCTCATTTTGTAACCATTCTTGGGTGGTTTGCGTGCCCAAGGCTTTAATACACTTCCAGAATATTTTCGGGATAATATTCGGCATTTATTCTGATGCCACGGTCGATTAATACGAGCGGAGAGCGGTCACGATCATTTTATTTGTTTAAAAAAAGCAGGACAACGAATGTTTTCTCATCGGAGACAGTTTACCATTTTCGGCCAAGCGAAGCAATTATTTAGCTCTTTTGAGTCTATTTACTGTTCTTTCTGTTGCGGTGTAAGTTCTTGCACTTGTTGGAATTTAAATGGCTGTACCGCGAGATCATTTTTTAATAATTGCCGAATGGAATATTGCGATATGTCCGATATGGCTCACGAGCCATTTTTCGGCCACTGCGACGCGGGTTTCGATCAAGTCGCAGTCGCCATTTCTGCTGATTTGCCGTTTTCTTCCGTCCAATTCCTTGACGTCAGGCTACGCTACCAGTATCACGGTAACGAGCGATGGTACGAGACACCAAAGATTTATTCACATTTAAATGCTGGAGTGCTCT